TCGGTGGTTCTCTGATGAATCCTGACTGAAAATTGTCAGTCCTGTCACGTGATCTGACTAGGCCTAACGTCAGAGATGATTTGGTTTACGGCCATTCAAAACGGATTGCAACAGAGGTAACCCAAGTCAGCTTTACATGGTTATGTATAGCGAGAAATGGCTTATTTCCCTGAATATTATTCAGCGTATTGAGTATGGCTTTTTTGTCACTACCACGATTTTGAGACTATTTACGGTCAATTAGAAACACTTCTTACCATTCTGTATCTGAAATAGTATACCGTATTCTTTTGCTACTGTTATTCATTATTGGTTGGCTGTCTAGATATTTTATTAGCAGCTACAGTATTGGATGGTGGATTATTTGTGCATGCGGTTTCAATGCAAATAGACTGCGAAAAATCCACATATAATATGGTGAACAGAAAATACAACTAGTAAACCCCACAATAGTGCAAAATCCATCGTATGCAGTTGTATATATAAATCTAACGAGCCTATCGCCACCGCATCAAGTTTCGGTATGTTGATGTCGCTTTTGACTCTTTTATCACTTGAATCAAAAGAACAAAAAAATGAGCTAAACACCGACACACCCTAAAGCATTTAAGCCAGAAATTTTGAAGTCAATGGACTACAATGCACGTTTGTTTGTATATGTATATATAATTGCAACTTCTTACTTCTCTATCAATAAGTACAACTTCTTATAAATGTTCAATAAATACAACCCTACTATAATATTCCATATCTTTCAAAAAAAATCGCAAATTGTACAAATATTGTAAATAATAACACCAACTTTTTTTTAGAAGACGATTTCTTCAATTATTATTTTAATAAAGCCAAAACTACTATCGTTGTTCATATTGAACATTAACCAAGATCTAAAGTAGCTCAAATCCAGCAATAGCTATTGGTTCAAGAAATTAAGTAGTCCTGTATACAACCCAACTCATTCGGTATCGGAGTGCTATCAATTCTGAGCGCTTATGTTGATGAATAGCCCATATATCAACAAGTAAAACGATTTACCATAGTATCGAGTCGATTCAAATGTATTGGTAAGATGAACGAAATCAAAAATGAACCAATGTCTAATTCAGACTCTGTTGCGTCGAGTAACAGTGCAAAAGTGGTATGTTTTTTTTGAAATATAATTTTTAGAAATGTCTTTGGATTATGTTATTTCGTTACGAGGAACTGATTACTAACGTACTTAGAGACGGAAAAAAACCAACAGAGCATGCAATCATTGTCACAAGGCGCATATGACCTGTGACACCAATAGACCTTGTCAACGTTGTTTACAGAGAGGTTTGGAAAGCAGTTGTCAGGATGCACCTAGAAAACGAAAGAAATATTTAGCGGATGTGCCACCAAACGTATTAAGTCGGCATGATGGATTATCGCAATCACCGCCCTATGAAGTGGGTAAAAATGATACGGTTAGTTATCAAGGTGGTCCGTTTCAAGACAGTCCTCTGTCGGAGTATAATGCACCTATGCCTACTGCCAACACCGGCAATGATGTAAATCAAGACTTTGCGGCCTTTGGAGTGTATCCTAATAGTCAGTTATTTCCATCTAATACAAATCAAGCAAATCAAGACGCAAGCGCTAATATGATTCATTCTCAAGGTCAACTGAAACCTATAAATCAGATGCATCAACAGGAGTTACCACTGTACAATAAACCGAGACGAACAAATTTCCTTTCGTCGGCAGCGGATTTAGAATATTCGACACTTTCCAGCATTCTTCAGGACAATTTCGTTAATGTCAATAACAATACCTCAGCAGAAGGTACGCCAAATTCACTTAATTTGTCGCCAGCATTACTTCCCCACAATATACCAAGCACGAATACTACTGATTCCAGGAATGCAACATCTCCTAGTAGCTTGAATAACTATGGCCAGCAGAACAAACCTATGAACTACACCTCCGGATCATCTCATGCATCTTCTCCTAATGATTCTATTTTTCATAGTAAACAATTATCATCAACAAATGGCACCAATAAAAATAGATATTACTATTCATCGAAGTATCCTAAGTGCGATGAAAGTATTAATCAATATTTCTTGGGCCCAACTGGCTCCGATCATGAATTGATTTACCCAGATGTTATAACTGCCATTGAAGAGATGAAGGCACTCGATCCTGCTGTTTACCACGAAAGGAATTCCAAGCTGCTGTTGTCATTTACTATAGGAATAATTACAGATACAAATGAGTATACCAAGGGCAGAAACCCACGAGAGAATAAGGAAACTTTTAAAGAACCCGATGAAATATATGCAAAAGTCAACAAGCCGTTCTCATATACTCCTGGATACCATTCCTTGATTGCTTACTTACGTAAGAGGTTCCCCAAAGAAATGCTAGTAAAGATGGCCGAATCCATTGCTGCTTACCGTCCGTCATTTATTGCTTGTACAAATTCATTAAAAGAAAGCGATTTAATTTTCATGGAACAATGTTTTCAAAGGACCCTACTTACGTACGATAACTTTATTCGTGTCAGTGGTACCCCAACTATTGTTTGGAGACGAACAGGTGAAATCGCATACGTAGGAAATGAATTCTGCGTATTGACAGGTTGGAAAAAAGAAGATCTTTTGTTGAATACCAAGAAGTTTATAGTGGAGCTTCTTGATGATAAGTCTGTAGTAGAGTATTTCCAGTTATTCCTGAAGATTGCATTTGGTGATTTCTTGGGGGCTACAATGACAGAATGTACTCTATTAACACCAAAGAAGGATGTAAAAATACGAACCGGATGCATGTGGACGTTGAAAAGAGATGTATTCGGTATTCCTATGATGATTATCGGGAACTTTTTACCCATAATATAGTATATAGAATAATAAATCATATTTTAATTCGGGATCAAAACTTGTTACAGCCATATTTAGTAAAAAGCAAATGTAGCGCGAACGGGAATTGATAAGATAAAAAAATGGAATCAGGTATACTTTTGGTTGAAATATTTTAATAGACCAATTGGATAGAAAAAAGAAGTAAATGTCATCTACTGTCATTCAGAAGCCTCAATTAACAGGTAAGTTGATAACAACTATTGCTGTCATATGTTTAGGTTCGCTTCAATTCGGTTATCATATGGCCGAATTGAATTCGCCAGAATCTATTATATCTTGTCAAATGTCCAAACCAGGTAAAGTACCTTATGACGAGTCATGGTTCGGTAGCCATAATTTTGTTAAATGCATTCCATTGAGTCCAGAAAATGTAGGTCTAGTTACCTCGATATTCAGTATTGGTGGGTTAATTGGTTCGTTTTACATTGGGTCCTTTGCCGATAAGCTTGGAAGAAAAAAGACGTCATTGATACACTGCAGTATCTATTTCTTGGGGTCCATGCTAAATGGATTAAGTAATAGCTATTATATGCTATTAGTGGGAAGATTCATAGCAGGGTTGGGCGCTGGCGCCGCTCTAGTAACAACTCCTATATTTATCAATGAAATAGCACCCTCTGATTATAGAGGGTTTTTGGGATCAATGAATCAAGTATCTGTAAATATAGGAATCTTATTTACTCAATTGTTGGCATTGGTTTGGTGTGACGATAATAACTGGAGATTATTATTGATCATGGGGGGTGTGATTGCTCTTGCTAACTTTTTACTTATTGCGGTCTACGTAGACGAATCTCCAATGTGGTTGTTGAATAAAGGATTTAGTGGTAGAGCTGCGACTGTTTTACATAAATTAAGAGGTGGCGATTACGTCCAATCTAGAAACGAAGTCCATAGATGGAGAAATCCAGGTGAAAGCAGTTCTGTTGAAAATGACACTCTTTTAGACACTACCGATAGCGATGTGAATGAGGAAACAACCCCTTCGAGTGACTCGTCGGTTTCCCTTGATACTTACATGAAATCATCTGAATACCGTAACTCTAAGATAGTTGCAACCGGTATCTTGATATTCCAACAATTCTGCGGTATAAACTCAATTATATTCTACGGAGTATCGGTGCTTGTTGCAATATTTCCCAAACATGCAATCTTCATTAACTGTCTAATCTCGGTGGTTAACGTAGTTGTTACGTTTGGTGCTGCACCACTTACGGATAAATTAGGGCGTAAACCACTTCTATTGACATCTGTATCAGTTATGGGGCTTCTGACAATCATAATGGGTATAGGAATCATATCCAGCAGCTCTATTTTCTCGATCGTAGGTACGTTTTCCTACATTACCTTTTTCGCTGTTGGATTGGGACCAATCCCATTCCTTCTTGTTAGTGAAGTCACTCAACCAAAGGCCAAAGCCCTGGCCCAGAGCTGGGGTACCACCATGAACTGGCTTGCCACTTTTATCGTCGGTTTCTTATTTCCAATTTTGAAGAATTCGTGGATAGGTGGCGGCGTATATTTCATATTCACCCTTATGTGTGCTATATCCTTTGTCTTCATCAAATACTGGATTCCAGAGACAAAAGGTGCAAATTCATATGAAGAGGTATGGAGATTACCAATCAGAACAGATTAGTTCTTTTTAGCCTTACACAATATCCATTATCCATACCTATTTGCTCACTGTCTTCGGCTGCAATACACCGCTATAGGTGTCATATCACTGCATAGTATTAGACTAAATAAACATCACATACAATTATAACAAGAATATCTCTACACTACGCTCTATGCGTGATTCTACCGTTAATATGATACAATCTCCAATTAACGAAAAGAATCAAGTAAACTGGTATACTATGACGCTATATTATGCTTTCAAGTACGTATCTCACATTAGGGTTCAGCCCCAGTAAACCATACCCAAACGGCATAATGTGCGAAACTCATTCTGTGACTGTTGATGAAGAAAAGCTTTTTTTGTGTAATTCTCACTAAGTATGGGAACTTGGTGATGCTCGGTCGCAGTTTGGTGAAAAATTATAGAGTTCAAAAGAATCTTGAAAGTTCTGTTCGTTTACTCTTTATCTAGCTTAATCTATAACATTAATAATGCCAACCAGATTAACCAAAACCAGAAAGCACAGAGGTCACGTTTCCGGTATGTACTAGTTCACTGTAATGATTGAGGTAGAAACAGAGAATATGGAAGACTTGGAATGAAGAAGGAAGGGAAATTTGAGATGAAAATGGATGTCAAGACCCACGTAGATTAGAAAAATGATATATCAAAGAGAATAGAAGATACGCATACATTGAGTGCAGCGTTGAAGATGAAAGTAGAGTCGGAGAAGAAATTTGAAAATTTTTTTACTAGTGGACATAATTAAGAAAAACATCCAGACATGAAGAATAGAAGTGTTATAGAGTAGCCAGGACATATATTTGGCTGTTTCTACCGACAACAATGGAGAATTCGTAATACTAACATATTTTTAGCCGGTAAGGGTAGAATTGGTAAGCACAGAAAGAATCCAGGTGGTCGTGGTATGGCTGGTGGTCAACATCACCACAGAACCAACTTAGATAAATACCATCCAGGTTACTTCGGTAAGGTTGGTATGAGATACTTCCACAAACAAAGAAACCACTTCTGGAAGCCAGAAATCAACTTAGACAAATTATGGACTTTAGTTGATGAAGACAAGAAGGACGAATACTTAAAGTCTTCCTCTGCTTCCGCTGCTCCAGTCATTGACACCTTAGCCCACGGTTACGGTAAGGTCTTAGGTAAGGGTAGATTACCACAAGTTCCAGTCATCGTCAAGGCCAGATTTGTTTCTGAATTAGCTGAAGAAAAAATCAGAGCTGTTGGTGGTGTTGTTGAATTAGTTGCTTAAATAAACTAAGTAATGAATTGTTTGTATATTTTACTCAAATAAATAATTGACTACGTGTTTCTTAATTCTAAGAGATTTTATTTCTTAAAATAATTCACATTTTAGTGTTTTCAATGGATTGTAGGTACATGAACATCTATAATGCTCTAGCATTTAGATAGTCTTTTGAGGCAACAATGCAAGAGAAGATGTAGTTCCAAGCTTGTAGTATTAGTCCTATTGTGATAAGACCAGCGTAAATTCAGAGGTATATAAAACCCAAATGATATTTTATTTACTACGAGATAGTATCACCTACAAGCTGTTGGTTCTCAATGTATCATGCAAGTAGCTATGTAAGTATATAATGTAAGCCTATCTTTAAACTTAAGCGTGTAGGGTTTGACCAGTTTTCTTAGAAGAAAAATTTTTTGTTTACATTTTGAGATCTTAATCAAAATAATATAAACCTGATCTATTACCCTTTTTTCCATATTTAGCAGAACGGTTCGGTTCATAAGACGTAGCATGACAGAAGAAAAATTATGGATGCCTGAGGATGCTGTTCCAGCTGGTATTAAGAACTTATTAATCCCTGATTCTCCAAACAAGAAAATAAACTACATTTTAGCATTCATTCAGATAGTTCGTTTATTGAAAACCCAAAAGAGAACAGGATGGGTTGACCATAATATACCAAATGCCAGCGTTGAAAGTATTAGTGACCACATGTACCGTATGTCGATTATTTCTATGGTCATTCCAAATAATGAGATCAACATCGATAAGTGTGTCAAAATAGCAGTGATACATGATATCGCAGAGGCATTGGTAGGTGATATTACACCATTTGATGGAGTCACGAAACCAGAAAAACACCGTCGAGAATACGAATCTATCAAGTTCTTATCGTCTTTGATCGAGCCTTATAACCCTAAGTTTTCTAAGGACATAATCGAATTATGGCTCGACTACGAAGAAATCAGATGCATTGAGGCAAGATACGTGAAGGATGTTGACAAATATGAAATGATCCAACAAGCGTGGGACTACGAACAAGAATTCGGCTTTCAATATAAATTGGACCAATTTTATGAATCAAGATCGGCCATCAAATCTAAGGAAATTAGTGAGTTGTGCGATGAAGTTATCAGACAAAGAACTGTTTTGCAGAAATCACTCACTAACTAGTTATTGATGTATTTTTTTTTAATCATGATTCATTTCAACTGTATTACGCATCTTGGAATTAGGCATATCCATAATTAATTATATATTCTTTAGCTACGAAGTAAACTATAGTCTTAATATTTTGCAATAAGCTCATTACATTTTTGTGTAATATTCCATAAGTATGGCCCTTTGTTAGTAATCAAATACCTAGGACAACTGATATACATTAGACCCAGTGATAGAGTAAAGTTAACAGCTATGGCCGAGGAAGATAAAGAGCCCAACCAAGGCAATAATACTAAGCCAGTTTTTGGTGCTACTGGCCGTAAAATCATTTATGATAAAGATGGTAAACCGTGAGTACTTACTAGGCTGAAAAATTTATAATTGATCAACTACTAACGATGTTAGATGTCGTACATGTAACTCACTTTTAGATTTTCAAATGGCAACCCATGGAGGCTCTGTCGCTGCTACACCTAAGACGAAGAAACCTTCGAAGGAAACCTCTGCTGCTGCTACCCCAAAACCTTGCCCTCCAGACGTAGAAGAAATTGGTAAATCGTCATGGACATTACTTCATTCTATAGCAGCAAAATACCCTGAAATGCCTTCCAGCAAAGAGCAATCTGATTTGAAACAGTTCATGAAATTATTCGGTAATTTCTATCCATGTTGGTATTGCAGAGACGATTTTGTTGAGTATAGTCAAAAGTCTGAACCAAAGGTTGAGACCCAGGATGCTTTTGGCAGATGGTTATGTGATGCACACAACGAAGTCAACGTGAAGTTAGGCAAGGAGAAATTCGACTGCAATTTGTGGAAACAGAGATGGAAAGATGGGTGGAAAGATGGAAGCTGTGATTAGCTCTTCATGATTGTAAATAAAATACATAGTTGTAAATAGGTATAAATAATTCATCAGTTTATTTAGCAACAGATGATATCCAATCTTTGAGTTCCTTCTCATTGACCCCAGCTTCGAGATCCTTAGGAACGTATTTGTCATATGGAATTTGCTTGTGCAAACAGAGAATCGAAGGCACTTTGTTGATTCCATATGTAAGCATCATATCCCTAGAACCAGGCGTATCACACGATATGTTAGCCAAATTCACGGGATTTCTCTTACTATCCAATGGATAGTTTTCCTTGTATGCTAAAATATCGAACAACGACTGTGTGAGCTTGTTACATTTCTTGTCCCCCTGGTAGGTGAAATTAAGCAACAACGGCTCTTTAAAAAGTATCAAATCGTGTAATTCATTACGGTCATAAACATACGTGGGAAACAATCTATTATCAGTAGTGGTATTATTTGGTGGATAGATTGTCTTGTTTATGCCCCAATTAAAAAAAAATTGGGTCGAAATAACTGCTGCTGCTGTTGCACCAAACGCAATTTGTTTGGAGCGAATTGAATTCATCGAGTTCTTAGCTAACCAATACATACCTTCAAACCGTTACTGTATGATAGTACGCTTTGAATACATAATCTTAGTCTCCAAACCCAGATTTGCAAGAACAATTCCGATATTGGCACCAAATGTCGCACTATTGCTCAGGAACCGTCAGACGGCCTTAATAGACCACTGGATGGTCTGATATGCTTGACTAAGACTCCTATACCGGATATCAACCCTAGCCACCTGAAACAATGTCCATGTACCTACATGCCTACGTTGGATGGTTTAATGTAGTCAAATGACCGGTTCGGAGGTGTTGATTTACACGTGAAATGAATAAACCTCTAGTCTACCGTAACTCACAATTGGCTAGATTATTTAGACAATGCATACATGAAATGTAGATCGCTATAAGCCTTACGAACTCGCCTATGACTTTGACATTGACATTGCCCCTACCGTTCAATTTATTGTTCGGTACCTATTATCTAATTCTATCAAAAGCGTATATAAGCTAAAAATCCGAACCCCGGTCAATCAAATAGTAAATTTCCATCAAAATTGTATGGAACATTTCTTAATTGGATATATCAATAGATAATTAATTAGTATTTATAACGACATAAAACAATTTAAAAGCGTCTAATATCCTACTTGATTTAACTATTAATTTGTAAGTTTGAATAAGACTTATTTCAAGGAATTAAGCAAATTGTGTGATTTAGTACTTTCATTAGTAATTGTGACAAATTATAGAACACATACAAATATGGCATCCCATATAGAACAACCAGTTCCTTCCAGAAAGCCTGGAAACAAAAGTGATTCCAACGAAGCTCACGATATGATTGCTGACAACTTCAACAACATGCCACTCTTGTCGCCTACGTTGACCCCATCTCAGGTACCTATTTCCGAAACTCCCCAGGTTCCACCAAAAGTATCGGATGAGGTCAGAAATGCTTTACCAATACACGAAAAGTTACCAGAGATTAGATGTATGGCCAGGGCAAGGATTCCAACTACAAATGGACCGGAAATTTTCTTACATTTGTACGAGAATAATATTGATAATAAGGAGCATTTAGCAATCGTTTTTGGAGAAGATATTCGGTCAAAATCATTGTTTGCAAAGAGACCAAATGATACCCAGCAAGACAGAATGACTAGAGGTGCATACGTGGGCAAGTTGTTTCCTGGACGGGTTGAGGCTGACCATGACAGTCATTCTAACATGTCGTTGAATTTTGACACGAATGGTGATCTTATAAGAGAACCAAGTACTACCTTCATGAAAGACCCATGCATAGTGCGTATCCACTCTGAATGTTACACGGGAGAAACTGCTTGGTCTGCCCGTTGTGACTGCGGTGAACAATTCGATGAAGCAGGAAGAATTATGGGAAATGCTGGTCACGGATGTATTGTCTACTTGAGGCAAGAAGGTAGAGGTATAGGCTTAGGAGAGAAGTTGAAGGCATATAATTTACAAGACTTGGGAGCAGATACTGTGCAAGCAAATTTAATATTAAGACACCCTGCTGATGGTAGATCATTTTCACTTGCCACTGCAATCTTATTAGATTTAGGACTAGCTGAAATCAAATTATTGACCAACAACCCCGACAAGATTTTGGCTGTCGAAGGTAAGAATAGAGATGTGAGAGTGTTAGAGCGAGTTCCTATGGTTCCATTGGCCTGGAAAACAGAAGACGGTATTAAGTCAAAGGAAATTGAAGGATATTTGAGCACCAAGATCGAACGAATGGGCCATCTCTTGGAAAAACCTTTAAAAATTTAATAGCATGTATAGTTTTTTTTTGGTGTTATTGTTAATATAAGAAACTACTTCGAATTGTCTATTGCATATTGTGTGTCTTACGTAAAAAGTTTTGTGACTGAAAATCGCTCATACTTTTTATACATATTTGTTTCTTAAGCCCTTTTGACAGTATCTGTATAATCAATTCAATGAACATATAGGATGAGTAAACGGGACAGTTTTGGCAATTCTAACGAATTGCATTTTGGTAATAACCATCCTAGAACAATTTATCCTCAAAATTCGGAGAAACGTCAAGCAGAACAGAAAAGGAGAAGGGTTACTAGAGCTTGCGATAATTGCCGACAAAAGAAGGTAAAGTGTGATGGAAAGCAACCATGTATTCATTGCACAGTGTACTCTTACAATTGTGCCTATGATCAGCCTAATATAAGGAATAAAAAAAATAGCGGTATCCCAATCCCTTCAGCAAATACCACTATAATAAGCAGTTACAAAGCGCCGCTTAGCCAACCAAAGGAAATAATAACTACATCGCATGTAAATAGCAATCTCATACTTGGGCAGAATCTTTTAAACTTGTTATTGCCGAAGCTTAAGTTAAACCTTTTTGACGAAAGGCCAACACAGTTTGACTTCGAGAAATTTCAAAAGGTTTATCAATATGTACAGTCTAAAAGCAATGGACAGACAAATTTGAACGAAATAACAGATTTGTATCTGGATGGACCTACACCATTATCGTCGCCGTCAACATTGGATCGCCAACCTTCTGTATCATCTATGGACGATAATTTAGATGGACGCGAATTCAAGATTATTTTGCCGCCAAAAGATATAGCTTTGCAATTGATTTTTACATGTTGGAATAAGGCATGTGTATTGTTTCGGTTTTACCATAGGCCTTCGCTTTTAGAAGAGGTTGAATTATTATTTGGGCTAGATCCTATGAACTATACCGATCGTCAACAAAAGTTTTTACCGTTCTTATATTCGATTTTGGCATGCGGACTGCTTTTTTCTAAGCTGTCAAACCAATCAACTCCTAATAATAATACGTTAGAAGACGATGGCTTCAAATATTTTTTGGAGGCCAGAAAATTAATTGATATTACTGACGTTGGCGATATTATTTCAATTCAAACCATTGTTATGATGATTATGTACCTCCAATGCTCAGCGAGATTATCTACTTGTTATTCCTATATTGGTATTGCCTTGAGAAGTGCCATAAAGGAAGGGTTACATCGTAATTTATCAATTTTTCAGAATTCTAAGAGGGAATTAGATCCGATTGAAGTGGATACAAGGAAAAGATTGTTTTACACTATTTATAAGATGGATATTTATATTAATTCTTTACTAGGTTTACCTAGGTCACTCACTGAAGATGAATTTGACCAGGAACTACCTGAAGAATTAGACGATGAGAATGTTACCCATGCGACATACAGCTATGAAAAACAACAAGGAAAATTGTCGTCTTCAGCATGCGCGAATCATCATACGAAGTTAATGTTGATACTTTCTCATATTGTTAGAGATCTTTATCCAATAAAGATTAAGAAACAGTCCTCGGTTGATAATCCATCTCCGGATCGCATCCATTCTAAGGTAACTGGATTAGAGCAAGAACTCAAGAACTGGTTAGATCAATTACCAATGGAGTTAAGACCCACAGATCCTCATGATGTAAACTCTGGTAAGGGTATACCCGAAAAGTTTATATTAGCAAACTTTTACCTCCACTTAGCATTCTTAAATTGTCAAATCATGTTGTATCGTCCTTTTATTCATTTCATCAGTAATGGAACACATTATCAGGCTGCTGATCCAAGGTCACTTATACGTGGTAGGAATTGTATAAAGGTTGCAAGAATGGTTGTAAAATTGGCTAATAAGATGATAGATAAAAATTTATTAGTTGGAACATATTGGTTTTCTATGTATACAATATTCTTTTCAATTGCTTGTTTGATATATTATTTCCATTATGCTCATGATAATAATTTGAATCTGTCTGGAGTTAATTATGCTGGCATTTTATTTGACGATGATTTAAACATTGATATGATTAAACATGATATTGAAATTGGTCGAAAAGTCTTGGATTGTTTGAAGAACAACTCAAACTCATCTATGCGAATTTATAATATTTTGAACAATTTATTCGAACAGCTTAATAGAAGAACAGCGATTAAAGGAAAGAACGATTCCGTGGCTACCCATCCTCCTTCCATAATTAATAATACTACCGAGGAGTCCCAAAATGCGTCTCTGAACTTTGATAGCATCAACTCTTTCGCAAGTATGAATAGTTTTGAATATCCAGTATCGGACAGCATTAAGAAAGAGACAATTCCGAGCGACTTCAGAACTGCCTCTCAGCAGCAAGAACAACAACAAGCAGCAAAACAGGCTACCACACAGGCACCTGTTAATGGTAAAAAATCTATTGATCTGTTATTTAATGATGGATATACTAATGCGTATAATATGCAACCACAAACTAATGCCATTCCTACAGCGTACCCAAGTGAATCAAATCCAATTCAAGATTTAACATCAGATCCATCTACAACTCCACAGGGACCTGGTAACCAACAAAGTGGTGAGTACTTACCTGGTGTAATTGACAAGCTTGATGCTCAAATTTTTGGTAGGATATTACCACCATATATGTTGGAAAAGAATGCTAAGCAAGCAAATAATAGCCTGAATCTGTCCAATGCTAATTTCAATCTAGAAAATGTGAACGATTTTCAGACTCAAAGCATTGGCGACGAACAGCAAATGAACGTAGATAACTTTGATTTTTCAATTCTTGGTAATTCAAATCTGATGGATTATTTGGATCCGTTCAATCCGATTAATGAATCCCCTTATAACTTCAATAGGCAAGGTTAACTTATACCTGGCACCTTATTTAAATTCTGTAACAAATATATATTTAACGTTTTAGTTTTTCACGTGAGAATGAGACTATTTAGGCTCATCTCAATCGTAAGTATAACAAGAAGATTTCAGCGATTATTATTGACTAGTAATCAAAGTATAACGTTTCAAATGAGTGATAGAAGAAGGCTATTAGGTCCTGTGAATGCAAAGCTTCCAGCTGTTGGTATTTCCTCAGATTTGAATAACAAGCCTACAAAGGTGGACAAGAAGAGAAATGATGAAGTTAGGAAAATGTTTTTAAAGTCAGGATTGGTTACAAATGCTAATGGTTCAGCATACTTAGAAGTGGGTGACACTATAATCGAGGTTTCGGTATTTGGACCTAGACCAATTCGTGGTTCCTTTATTGATCGTGCATCTTTCTCAGTAGAGTGTAAATTTTTACCATATGTGACGCAACCAAACGAAATTACATTTAATGGAAAAGCGACTAATTTTAACAATAATGGTAGGCCTTCATTAACCAATATCGAACAGAAAATTTCCTCGTACTTAGAAACGTCATTATTACCATGCATACTATTAGAAAAATACCCCAAATCAACTATAGATATATTTGTTTCAGTCATTTCAACAAATTCTAATCCAAATTCGAATTCATCTTTGCTTAATTTAATTAACTGGATAATTAATTGTTCTTCATTAGCATTAGTTGATTCAGGAATCGAATTGAAGGATATTGTAACCAGTGGACAAGTTAACTTAAATCAAAAGTCTAATGAATTGACCTTGGATCCTATATATCCCGTTGATACTATAGATAATGAAGATAGTATTGATTGCCTTGTGAGCTTTATGAATTTGAGAAATGATGAAATTGTTGGATTTTGGGTAGAAGGTAAGCAAGAAGAACTAAATGAAACCATTATAACACAATTAATTGATGGCTGTAATGAGATGTCCAAGCAAATTAGAAGTAATATTAATGGTTACTTGCTAAGTTTAATGGATTCAAATTGATGAATGTTAGGTAGAATAAAAATATTTTCTTTCATGTAATTTCTATAGAATAATTATTTACAAATTTACGTCTAAAAGGTAAAAGGAAAATGATAGCTAACTAATTATTCTTCTTTCTTTTCCTCGCTTAAAGCATAATGAGCATGGGACAAATCGTCCAACACTTTTCTAATATTAATAAGCTTTAAACTTAACTTATGCACTGTTAATTCGTCTTCATTATCCGCATAGAGGAAAACCTTAGCGTTGATATGAATACCAGTAGATTTTGAAATGACATATGCAAAGCGATTGTAGGTTTGAATAATGTTACCAGACTTTTGAACAGCTGAATCAATTGGCGAATCAATAGAGCCAAACCCGATTATAGCTCTATCAAAAACCTTTGCTTTTAATTCATTAGCTAACTCAATACTACCTTCAGTAGAGGGAGGAACTTCAATGTTATCTGAAGTAAGTTCAAATGGTTCTGAGATATAGGCAACATCATGCTTACCATCTAAATGGTATCTAAATTCATAAATACCTTCTTCCCAGAATAATTTTTCACCTTCGAATACATATGAGCCCGAATCTGAGGTTACTTGCGTCCAACGCCCAGAAGATGAAATTAACGTTCTATAACGAGAATATGTAGTTTGAACCGTTTTATACAATCCAATCCAATCTTTTGGAGAATGATTCTCTGGAGCGTTCCACTCAACTTCAATGGGTTCACCAATGAACGCAGTAGACAAATTATTCTCGGTTGTATTCAAATTCTTAATAGCAAGTTTGTAATCTGAGTTTTCAAAGTACAAGTTTTGCGATAATTCAAGAATATTCTGCTTTGTCAAACGGGTATTAGTATTCTTCAACTCTTTAATGAAATTGTCTAAAGAATCTGTTGCACCTGCCATAATAGTACTCTTTCTTCTATGTTGGTTAAGTAAATCGGAGTTATCTTCTGAGCCTTTACTTAACCTTCTTTGAATAGCACCAGGAATCAAATGTTTCTTGAAGGTTTTAGTTACGCCGGAATCTTTCATGACCTCTCTTTCACCATAAATCTTAATCATATGTGCTTTTTCAATGAAATTAATTCTAATGAAATTATTAGCAACCCATAACACACAACATATCAAGTTCTCTAATGATGGAATAATTAAGGTAACACCCATAATACCGCATACACCAAATATTTGTTCTGGATTGTTTAAGTAACGGTAAACACCGGCCTTAGTTAAATGCGCTTTATGTTGCGATGTCTTTGGAATAAAGAAGTCACCATAGAACCACCCGAAATAGCCAATCAGGTCAATGATTGAAGAGTTAATCCAGACCTGAGTAAATACTAATAGAATACCAAGAAATATACGCAAATAAACCCAGCTATTGATGAAAAGCTTGTCAGATTCCAAACCAATAAGAACATGGTAAAAGTTTAAACCGAAAAAAGAGGAATATGTCAAACTGATTAAAGAATTGTACATCATAGACCAGTTATTCAAAGTCTTCTCCGCGGAAATATCATTTGAAAGGTACCACTTTGTAAAGGTCTTATAGTAACTTTGTAAGATAAGTAAAATGTTAATTGACAACGACTCAAACACTTTGATTACAATCGTCAATATAAATAATATGGTTCCTGGGTTTACGCCAGTTTTGCCAACCCTAACAGTATCTACCAATGAAGCAAGGTAAGGAATTGTAAAACTATATGTACCAACCATGATCAAATTTGTCATGTCGGAAGCTCTCAACCAAGTGAAGTTCCATAATCCAACCAACGGTTTTATATTATCGAAATGTCTTAAATCCTTTAATTTTAAAAGCATTTCAATATCTGCTTCACTTCCAGATGGACCATAAATCTTATCAATGTGGGGGTTTTCAATATAATGCAAAAAAATCATTTGCAAAAAGTGACCAAAGATTGCAACCGTCAAAATCGTATAAGATTTCGAGATAATTGCAAATCCGTAGTATCCTACATAGCCAACAGAATACATTGGGTGAGGAACCATTTCAAAAACACCATCAAATATTAAATCTTCATTATTGATTTGACGGAAGAAAAAGTCTCCCCAATACCAAGCGTAATCTTTAATAGTATTATGGGCATTCACTTTAACCCACAAATTAAATAAAATCAAAACTGTCCCAAGAATTAATCTCGTAGAGACTAACCATACTTCTTGTTGATCAGTATTGATAAATTGATAGTCTTTGTTAATGGCGCATACGACAACAAGACAAATAAAAGTGGTGAAATCCAGCATTAAGATCAAATCTACCACCTTACGGAACAAGAGCCAAGTATTGAACTCAATTGGATATTTTTGAACATTATATTCTGGACCCATTTGAGATTTGATCTCCTTTTCCGCTAATCTAGAAACCAAAGAACCATTTTTTTCGAATACCTGAGCCTTTTCCGCCCATTTCACGAGTCTATGGTGATTAGATTGCACATTAAGCAAATACCCAATTCCGAAATTGTAAGAAAGTCTCCAGAAGATGTATAAGCCAATGAAGATCTCAATTCGAAGCATGTTGTTGTTAATTAACCAAAACACTAATCCATTGGCGGCTAATATCAACAATATGATCATCTCACAATAAGATTTTCTTACCATTGGATCAAATAGCGTTTTCACCATATCGTGAGTTTCAGGAACTACGAAGGTATCCCCGGAAAATGTAATCCCCTTAGCACCTGCTATTGTATTCTGAACCGTAGTTTTCTTCATATTTGCAACTATTCTTTGACTCTATCAATCCAAAAATTAGTACGTATATAAAGTCTATAGGATCTATAATTGCGGTGAAGATAATTAATTTAAAGATTAATTTTTTTCCCACTGTAAAACAAGCAAAATACTATGTGACTGAAATACTTAAAGAAATAAATCGAAAAACTTTTCAGTATAATTCGGTATTTCCATACGTCAAACTCGTCAATCGCCCAACTGTATATATTGGCCACTAGGAAAATAGTTGCAAAGGGTGTTGGGAAGATCACATGTAAAGACGATACAATTTGCATGTGAAAAGTTGAAAATCTTATCTACGAGATAATGCGACTTAACTAAAATCAACTATATTATTAAATGGTAAAGATCTATAAAATTAATAAATGAATAAATGATAAATGAAGCAAGAAGCTAGAAATCAGACTTAGTAACGACGGGCGTTACCGAGTGGAGCAGTGTTGGATCCGGATTGGTAACCACCACGGCCTCCTCTAAAGCCACCGCGGCCACGGCCACCTCTGAAACCACCACGGCCACCACCTCTACCGTATCTTATGTGACTACCAAAACTTCTTCTGTCGAATCTCATTAATTCAGGAGGAATGGTTTGGTTAGCTTCTCTCATGATTTTACACAAATCACCACCTAACTTGGAGTTATTATCGGTGAAAAAGGAAACCGCAGTACCGGTAGAACCGGCTCTACCGGTTCTACCAATACGATGGACGTAATCCTCGATATTACCAGGCATATCTAAGTTAATGACGTAGGAGATACCCTTGACATCTATAAGTAAGTTAGTAAATAGTTCAATAACACGAATACTATTCGATATTGAATAAAAGCATAGTAATTGCTACTTCGACTTAGACTACAAGAAGTACATGACAACGAAAAAAAGTAAGGAGAGAATTCCATGTATTGATATATAGAAAGCATTATTTACTCTAATAATCGTCAATCAGTCAAAGGCTAATTAGTTATAATTTGATGACAATAATTATCAAGATTTGTTAAACTCCAAGGTAAAGATGTTAATCATCAGTGAATAGTTCAATCCACCTCGTGAAATTAAAGAACCTGCTTTAATTTCTGTTTCTTTACTTAAGAGTCCACAGTATCCAGTGAGTATTAAATAATTTGGATTTGCTTTCCAATATCTATTAGTTTCAATCTCCTTGTTCCAAGAATGTTCCAGACATTCTCTAATGTTTCCGTCACTTCACATATTCATCCCTTTTCTAAGTAGAAGTCCTCATTATTAAAAGGTGACTTGGGAAATTTTCAAAAAAAAAAATCAAAAAAAAAATCAAAAAAAGATTCATTCCATCATTAGACTTAATAGTCTCCCTTTCCTATGCCTAAACCCATTATAAATTAGTAATAAAAAATTAAGAACAAAGTTCTCATATGCAATACATACCAATACCACGGGCTGCAACATCGGTTGCAACCATAATTGGAGATTTACCGGTCTTGAATTCCTTTAAGACCCAGTCTCTTTCACCTTGTTGTTTGTCACCATGAATGGCTAATGCAGGCCATCCATCGGCCCTTAAGTAGTTAGTGATTTCATCACAAGTTCTCTTAGTAGAAGCGAAAATTAAACACTTAGCTTCTGGATCAGCAGTAGCGGTTTCCAAATGCTTGATTAATCTGTCACGCTTTTCAAATTCAGTAACAACTTCAACTAATTGAGTAATTGTGTGAGAAGCAGCTAATTCTAATGAACCAACGGTGACTTGAATTGGATCGTTCAAGTAATCTCTAGTTAAGGCTTGAACTTCCTTTGGCCAAGTAGCAGACCACATCAAAGTTTGTCTATCAGGTCTAATTTGATCGACAATCTTTCTGATTTGAGGTTCGAAACCCATATCCAACATTCTATCAGCTTCATCTAAAACTAAGTAGGTAACTCTTCTCAAGTTAGTCTTGCCAGTTTCCAACATATCAATCAATCTACCAGGAGTAGCAATACAGATTTCAACCCCTCTGGCTAAATCTCTGACTTGTTGACCCTTTGGAGCACCACCGTAGACACAGGTATTTCTAATTCTAGAAGAAGAACCAAACTTGGAACATTCTTGTTGAATTTGAACCGCCAATTCTCTGGTTGGAGCCAAAACCAATACAATAGGACCATCACCTGGACTCAACAATGGTTGGGCGTTGATATGGACAATAGATGGTAAACAGTATGATAAAGTCTTACCGGAACCGGTAGAAGCAATACCAACCATATCTCTACCACTTAAAGCCATAGGCCACCCTTGACATTGAATTGAGGTTGGCTTTGGAAATCCTTGTTGTTTAACTTCCTTTAAAACGTAGTCTGGAAATCCAGCTTCGTCAAAACTAGTAATTGGCTTTGGAATGTCAGTACCGTCACATTTCATGTCATGCTCCTTTCTAAAGGCGTTGACATCTTGAAGGGAACGAGCAGTCACATCTGGATGTTCGTTATAGAAGTTCTTTTCAAACTTTGGCAATGAATCAATATCCCACTCAGGAGTATTTAATTCTACTCTTTCATCGAAACGGCCACCGCCACGGCCACCAAATCCACCACGGCCACGGCCACCGCCGAATCCACCGCCACGGCCACCACCGTAACCACCACCACCATATGAGTTGCCACCATATGAATTGTAACCACCACCGTAGCTATCGTTGTTGTTGTATGCCATTTTTAAATTATTATTTATTCTTGAAGTAATGGAAAAAGTTTTCTACTGAAAATATAATATATATTACCGTCTAGAAGGATTTGTCTTCTATTTAAGGTGATGAGAAGAAGGAATTTTTTTTTAAAAAAAAAGAAAAAAAAAAGAAAATGCGATGACTTCTGTATTAGGTAATAAGTGTGCGATGAGGTTTCCATAGCCCTTTTTCAGAACAGCTGCTGAATTAGAACAACCCTGCGACGTGCTACACAACAGTTACAAATATAAGTATATATTAAATGCTATAGAAACAGACAGAAGTACACCAGTAGTACATGCAAGAAAGAAGGAATATATTACACTAGAAAAACGTACATTGCGCAGGCATTGGCCCCACGGGCACGGATCATACATTAGTAGCTCACGCATGGTTCATGGTTCCACCGTCTTGTAGCCCCCAGCTTCAATTTTTTCACTGAATTTCTCTTCAATCGTAGAGCAGAGTTCCGACAAGTTGTCCAACCCCTGATGTAATGCTTCCACTGCCGATATGTTTCCGTATGTCTGGATTCTTATATTAAGCTTGTTTTCGGAAGGATGGGGGATAGAGTAACCACAGAATTCGACTTCTGGGTTTTTCATAATGATGTAACGTAACGCATTTCCAAGAGTATGATCTTCATCCACAATCTGGAATGAGGCAGCCGTTCCGTCTTCTGACGACCCTGGTAACAACTTCATCTTGTCTAAGTCGAATTCTTGTTCTTGTTCTTGCTCGCCGTTTTCATCGATCATCGATACGTCAACTGTTTCGTCTGCCATGGTGTATGTACTCGTTATGTTATCTAATTACTACCACCAACCGGTTTTGTTGATTACCTTCATCACTTAGTGAAAAAAAAATTATTCTGATGGTACGAATATAGTCCACAACGAGTGACACAAAGTCATCGGTTCGAGCCTCAGATCACAATTATCGCGTTGTTTACAAAGATATACACACATCAATACAGTTGTTCTATGGTATAAACTAGTAATAACTATAGGTATATTGCATTGAACGGATAATTGGTCGCAGGATAGGACCAGATTTATATATAAGAACATATATTTACCAGCTATTGAAATTCCTAATATTTTTTTAACTCTCTAAGTGTTACTAGCTATCAGATACACCTTTCTATATGAATTCGCATGGAATGACATATGACGAATTGTCACAAGCTATATCAGAATCATACTTGCATTTGTCGAACGATGACACCAATGACTTTAGTGGGACGTTCAACGAGTCGCGAGAGATGACGGTTGAAAACGGATACGATACGTCGACGTTGATGCGATTGGCAAGAGCGATCGATGAACAGCAGCACAGGGTCGAGAAGAATGTGACACGGGCAAAACACGGAAATGGGTCTCCTGAAGCCAAAACCACCAAGTATCGAACAAATGGAGGTGGCCAAGGGCCTCCGGGTCCGCAAGGAAGGACATATATCTCATCGCATTCCACCCCTTTGGTTTCGAAACAGAGCAGCACTAACATTAGACACACCAGAAACCGAAGCAGTACACTTTCAGACGTGGAGGAGACGATTGACGATTCTAGGGTTATTGGGGGCAATGGTGAATCTGATAGAGACACGGCAATGAGTGAATTGCGTCAGATGATCGAGACGTTGTCGCTAGAGGAGCTAGAAGAGTTTAAAAAACCTATCGAGACACTTATAACAAACAATAGACAAAAAGAAAGAAAGTCTCCTCGCCGGCCGACGCACCAGTATCATCAAAAGAACAACAGCGATATGTACGTGACGCCCAAGCGGTCGTATATCAATGCGTTGAGTAGTGATTCTGGTTCTAGTGGAGAAGACGATGATGATAGATTAAGCTTGACGCACACCAATACGAATGGTAGTTTCCTACGCAAGAAGAATTCACGAATCTCACACAGCGATCCAGCTAATGATAAGCCAAACTTAAAGATGTATATGGAGTCGAGCTATGAGGAAAACGGTAAAGTTAAGCTGCTGTCCCACGAAAATCATAAGAATTCAACTCGCATTAAAAATCATCACAATTCTGGGAACAATGAGAGAATATCAAGTATTGACGAAGTAGAAAATGAACTAGACTCGGCCATCACAACACCACCACATTCACAGGAATACGCCAATGCTAAACATGAATCATACGATCCACACTCGATGAATAAAAGTATTCTTGCAACATCTGACCACAGTGATAATGAATATTACCTTAATAATAGTAGTTATATTCCTAGAAGAGCCGTTAACAAACACAAGTCCAGGCCTCCCCAGGATGCTGAGCCTATATTGAAACCAAAAAGTAATGACAGTAAAAACGAACGACTTCAACCCGAAGCTGAACAACTAAAGAAAGAAAATCTTAATTTACGAATTAAACTAAACGAACTTGAAATTAAACTAAGTGAAAGTGAAGCCAATGCTGTTAATAATGACGAAATTTCATCAAACGATGACAATAGTTTTGTATTCAATGATACAAATAACCAGGACTCTCGCGATAAGATTGACGAATTAACCAATGTCAACAATCAATTGAATTTGCAACTAGCCAACTCCAAGAGCCATACAAACGAACTAAGCAACGAGATCAGGTATCTAAAGAATAAATTAGCCATCCAAAACAATAAAGACGATTTCCAACTGAAGGTATCAGAGCTTGAATCGCACATCAAATCATTACAGGGCCAGATTGGAAATACCAACAATCTCATAACACAAGATTCTATCCTGAGTGACTACAAACAATTTTATACAAAACTACAGTTGAATCAAGTAGATAGACTAACAAAGATAGAAATGTCAAACTTAATTAAAAACCTTATGTTATCCTTATTGATTACAGACTTCGAGCACCTACCAATGGTCTCATCAAAAATCGGCAAATTTTTCAAAATAATTAGCTTGTTCATGGACCAATTACATAGTATGGTTTACGATGACTCGTCGACAGCCATCAGACCTTCACATTACTTAAAAAATCATGAATACGGAATGTCTGAATTACAAAGTTGCTTAGACGGAATGCTAGAAACCTTGCTGCATCCGACGCGATTACCTACTTAATTTGGCTCCTCTAATACGATAGAGCATCTTGCTAATACTTTTCTCTCTGTGTATACTAGAAGTTTAAGATATATTTATAGAATTTGGTCTCTAAAACTGTAGTATTATATTCTATCAAACTCCGTCAACGACCCCAGTTGATATGTTCACGTGCTTTGAGTGATTGAATCGCAAATAGTACAGGTGATCACCATTTCTTGCTATATGGTGATAACTGGTCTACATCATAATTAATGTATACATTAGTTATAAATTAACCAAATTACAGTTCATAAAGTTATCTAATACCTACCCTATCTATTTGAAGTATTAAATAAAAAAAACTACTTGCTCAATATATTTAAAATTGATCACAACATTAATAAAATTAGATTGCTGATTATTAGGTTATCTTTGGATAACGACTATAAACAACTTAATAAGCTACAAGCCTTTTAAAGATTATAAGTGGAATCCACACACTAATTACAAATACTAATACGATAATTTGAATCAAAAATTATAATGGATAAGTCAGCGCTTTGGTCAACGTATCAGGACCACCGAATGACGTCAACATCGCCTACATCAAACAGTGGTAAGAATAATGGTAACAGCTCAAATCCAGTTGTTTATGGGGACAAGAATAGTCCCAGTCAGCCTAGACAGTTCAAAAATGCTAACACGAGTGATAATAGCCTCGCTTTGGGACATGATAGAGTTACTAAACTTGACAAAAATAGCGTGAAAAATAACCCAGTAAGACTAGATAGTGGACAGTATCAGGATACACTGGCACAAGGATTTGCCGCAAACAACATGGCGCCTACTAGTGCAGGAAATAGACAAAGTTTGGCACAAATAAACTTTTTGTTCAACCCCGCTAGGCAGGATCTGATAGGCTCGATATTGAATAACTATCTGACATTCAATAATCAATCTGCTGCTCCCAATAGCAGTGGGAATACTTTGAGTAATGTTAATCAAAATGATAGTTCCCACACTGATTCAGCCCCGAAATCTCAGCTGGTTGATGTAACTTATCCCAGTTATTACTTAAATCATCAAGATTCATCTATTAATGGGCAGTCAACTATTGGAAATGATGGTATTAGACCTCGAGGAGATAGTTTCTTTCTACCACCACCTATAAACTCTCAAATGCGACTGAATAGCAGTGACTATGAAAACAATCCAAATCAGCGTCAAAGCAATTCATCGAGATCGAATAGCATATTTAGTTCGCTCATTCAAATCCCTGGATCTGGGAATAATTCTGTGAGTGACGCTCCACCAAATGGTGACTTACAGAGGACTAATAATGCAAATAATGCAAATAATGTGAACATGAATAATAACAATAATAACAATAACCTTGATATTTCTGCGGGCGGAAATAAGTCAAAAGTAAATCAACCCTCAATAACTGCCAATAATGGACAAGGAGGAAGCTTTCTGATTCCATTGGCGGAATTTGAAGAAAGTTTGGGGAATTTCTTAGCGTTACAGCAAGATCCTAAAGGCTCACTTCTGGGTATCAAATCAAAACGTGGTTCTGTAGATTATCCCATAAGTAATTCATTTTGGGACGGTTTAAATAATGGTTTCGCAGGATCAATAAGTGGCATGCCACTTGGCGGTAGTATAAGTGGTATTCTCGCTGGTATAGCCAACGGTAATATTGATTTCAGTAGCATGAATGAAGAGCAAAGAAGAGACTCTATTATAAAGCTCATAAGTGATCAACAGAATACGCAGCCTCAGAGATCACTGAATAGTGGCACAACTATTCCTAATACTAAATTAAGAGAAGATATATTTGATACCAAAGCCAGGAAGCCTGATTACGAGAAAGTCTATAATGAGAGGACTCCTAAGTATAATGATAACAATTTAAAAATAAAAGGAGATCATGTTTCTCCTAGCTCCTCCATGTCTTCCACTACTTCCGCAAGGTATAACGATGAACCACAATCCCCTAAAACTTCTCCATCGGCGTATAACGTTAGCTTGAATCAGGCATCATTACCGCAAAATTTCAATCAAATACAGAAGCAAGCGTATCCAACTTTAGATCAACAGAATTACGTTGGAGCTCTACCGCCTAATGGGATAAAGAACCAAGGAATATTAAATCAAAATAATTTACCGATCTACCAAGCACAGCAGCAACTGCAGCAATCACAACCGCAACAGGTTCAACAAATACAACAACAGCAACAACATCAACAACAGCAACAACATCAACAACAGTATTATCCGCAGTTTCAGAATTACCATTCCCAACAAAATCAACATCATCAACAGCAATATCAACCTGCACATGTGGTTCCTTCTGCAAATATGAATGATAAACAAAACGCACCAAATGAAAATGATACGAATCTTGTTCCAGCTCAACAATTTGTCAAAGCAGAAGATGGTCGCCCCTTACTAGGAGCAACAAAAATAGATCAGTTAATGTTGGTTATACAAGCTCGAGAAAAAGGTGTAAATAATCCAATTCCTCAAGGGCCTGATGGAAGCATATTAGCTTCGTCTGAGGTTAAGCAAAAAAATGGAGTTATTCCACAACCTATAAATTTGGTTGGTGGTGTTGATAAGCCGCCGAAAGATAAATTGGACGGAGACATATTTGAAACTGAAGATGATTCCTTAAGTGATAAGAAGAAGAAAACGAAAAATAAGCAATGCCCCTATTGCTTTAAATATTTTACTCAGTCAACACACTTAGAGGTTCATGTCAGATCTCATATCGGGTATAAGCCGTTTGAATGTTCATATTGTCATAAAAGGTTCACTCAGGGTGGTAATTTGAGAACTCATTTGCGGTTGCATACAGGCGAAAAGCCTTTTACCTGTGAAGTTTGTAAGCGTTCATTCAGTCGTAAAGGTAATTTGGCAGCTCATAAATTAACTCATGAGAATTTAAAGCCCTACGAATGCAAATTGGATAACTGTGACAAATCTTTTACTCAGTTAGGAAATTTAAAATCTCATCAGAATAGATTCCATTTATCTACTCTAAACGAATTAACACATAAATTGGCGGAATTACGCAAAGAGGAGATAGATAGTTTACCTAAGGATGAAAAGGATCTACTTCACTATTTTAAAGATTTATATAAGAATTCGAATAAAGGAATTCTAGGTAGAGGTAAGAGAATAAAACCCATAAATGAGTTAAATGATTCAAAGATAGAGCCAACGTGGTGATTTATGTTATCATTAAAGTGTTTAATTGTTTATTATTAACCTTTGTATTACTATTTAGTTTATGAACATAACGATTAGTTACTAAACACGTAACATTTTGCGCGTACTTCAAAAAAAATTGTTAATCTGATAACGTAAAACTTAAAGATTATATTCGACAGAAGTAACATGAATTTCTTATCGAAGACCTTTAGTACGTTGACGGGCTCTTCTATCCCTTACACTATTAAGGACAAGGTTGTTGACCCTCTTCTCTCCCATCCAGATACTAGACCAATTTGGACAGTATATGATGGTTTAAATCCAAAAAATGATAATGCTCCAGTTACCATATTTGAATTCAATCTTAAGGATCCGGTAAATATTCTGAATGACTACATTGGTTTAGCAAGAAATTGTTTTAAAAAAGTGAAATTGATCAAGCACCCTGGAATTATATCAGTAATTGATTTTATTGAAAACGATAATTTCTTATATATTGTTACAGAACAAGTGGTACCTTTAAAAAGTTATTTGAGTAAGAACAAGACTCAGATTTCTGAAGAAGCCAAATTATTTGGTATTTATGCGATTGGTCAATCATTACTGTTTATTAATATGAAATGTCAATGTTTACATGGAAATGTTGACGTGAATAATTCTATCTTTGTCACTTCGGCCGGAGATTGGAAGCTTTTTGGATTTGAATTATTGACTAATTTAAATTCAGATCCAGATCAACCGATATACAGATATTCCAATAGGTTGCCGGGATTTAGAAATAATGTACCTGAAGATGTATCAAATCAAGGAGTAGATTCCATAAGACAATTTCCTATAAAGTTTGATTCATTTTTATATGGTGCTTTTATCTACAAAGTATTAACTCTTGATACGTTTGACAATAAAATTCAACAACTGGAACTATTGGCACCAAATAGTAAGATCCCAAAGCAATTGAATGTTCATTATAAAAGACTAGTTTCGAATAAGCCAAATTTAAGAACTACGATAGATAAATTCTTAAACGATAGCAGTTCATTCTTCAGCAGTAACAAAATAGTTCAATTTAATACCCAATTAGAGGAAATTAAATTCAAGAACGCAGAAGAAAAACGTGAATTTTTCAAATATGGGCTTGCTGCTTACTTATCAGATACTGATAGTATACAATTCCCACCAGGTTTACTAGACTATAAGCTTTTACCTGAGCTTGTAAGTCAGTTTAATAGCTTGTCAAAAATAGCCCCATCGATAGATTCTACTCCAGAAGCACATCAACAAAAGCAAGAAACTATATCGGTAATATTGCATTATTTATTAAAATTTGGATCAACATTACCGCCTGATATATTTAATAAGTCCGTTAAACCAATTATTTTTAAAACTTTTGGCTTAGCTGATAGAACAATCAGATTAAATTTATTGACTCACCTTCCATCGTATTCGGCATATTTAACTGAATCCGATATTCAACTGAAAATATTTTATGACATGATCAGTGGGTTTCAAGATACTAATTTTATGATTCGTGAAACTACCTTAAAATCGATCACTACTATTATTGATAAAATATCTGTAAAACAAGTAAATCAAGATTTATTGAAAGTATTAGCAAAATCACAAATGGACCCTAAACCTTCAATTAGAACAAACACATTAATATTGATTATCAAAATATCTGATAAGATCTATAAAAATTCTAAAAACAATGTGTTAATAACTGCATTATCCAAGTCGTTAAGAGATTCTTTTACACCATGCAAGATCATGGCATTGTCTGGATTTGAAAAGCTTATAGACGAATTCTCATTAGATGAAATTTGTGGGAAAATATTAGGACACTTAGCTATTTCATTGATGGACAACAAGTCTTATAAAGTCAGAGTTGAGGCGAAGAGAGTTTTCAACTTATATTTGCAATCTGTCGAAAGGCATTCTGCCACATTACCTCAAGATGAAGAAGACGAAGATTTAGAGGAAAAAGAGTTTTTTAAGAAACATGCTCCTATGAATAAAGATGCTAAGGAGAAAGTAATTGAAGCTCCTGTATCAAGTTCTACGTTTGGATGGAACGTGGTGAATAAATTAATATCTACATCTGCTGTAAACGGTAAATTAAACAATGATTTCAATAGTTCTACGCCGGACTTGACAAGAGCCGCTTCGCCATCAACAGATATCAATTTAAATAGTAAAGATCTTAACAATAAAAATGACAACGCTAATGATTGGGATTATGAAGATGATGGTTGGGACGAAGATGCTGATCTTGAGATTGGAAATAATAGATTGAAAGATCAAAAAGAATTACTGGAGAAAAAAGCTTTACCTACTCCAGCCAAGTCTCACAAAAAAGCCAGTACTTTGAAACTAGGTACAAAACAACAAAAGAATCCAGGATCAACACTCAAACTAAACCTTACAGTTGAGGAAGATGATGGTTGGGGTGATTCCGTTGATTGGTAAGATTTCTAGCATTATCGATATAAGATAATGCTAGAATGTTTACCAATTCTACTATAACTATGTCCATGCATAAACAGCACGTTTCTTACCTTACTTATCATAAGCATCTACAAGTAAGTTTTAAAAATACTGTTAACTCTATGCAAGATTAATAGTAAACAATTTAGTCGTCAACCTTGAGTCGTAGCTGTACTTCGTAAAATACATTATTAAGTTTGATTCATCAAAGGTATAATTTCATTTCCATAGTACAAAATTTAACATAATATATATAACTATCGTACATACAATTACCTAGCCCACCTTAATACTGTCAAAGCATTTTTCCTAGTATTTGCTATATTTATTTCCGAAATCAGATCCTGCAAAATTTCTTCAACCTCCTTTTGAATTTACCTTCTGGCTTTAGAGGGATCTTACTCTCCATGTTAGTAACATCAGATAAAGTTTCGGTATTTGAAACAACTGACGACTGTCTATGATTCCTACTGGCCTTTAGCTTTTTAACTATAGCCTCAGCGTATGTTACTGAGCCAGTAAAATCTTCATGAGTGAAAAAATTCATGATCATAAATTTCTTAGATATTAATGGTAATGGATTTGGCGGCACATCTGTCAAGATTAAATGGAATGAAGGACATTCTGTGATCTTTAAATCATTTACCAATGACATGTTTCCATTGTTTGTAAAATCTTCAATCGCATATTTCTTACCCAAGTGTAATAGCTTGATCTGATTAACGTATTTAACCGGCTCCAGTAAAAATTCCCCCATATTGCTAAATGCATATACGATTAAGTGTTGAACTGTGATCAATTCTAGTGACATTTGCTGTATACCTAAAATTTCTTGCAAATCTTGTGAAGATACAATCATCTGTATGAAATTGCTAATGTTCGATAATTTCAAACTTCTGGTTTGATTATTAGATATAATCTTAAGCTCATAATCTTCGATTTCCAATCCTTCTTCAACAATCCTATTCCGTGTACTATAATAATTATTAAATGTGTTAAAATTAAAGTTATCACTTTCCGCCACAGTCGTATCAGAGTAGCACGATATGGCATCTCCTTCATGAAAATGTACTTCCCTCATACTATTTTTATTTCATTTGATATTATGTTTATGAGTTTCTTTTACTCCGTTTATTGTATTGATATTTATCTCTTAGAACAAAGGAGATCGAAGTCTTTTTGTTCCCACTTGTACCAATTATGTACTCCACATTTAACCCCCACACATAAAAATTTTCCGATTGTTTGCGCGCTCAGATTGGTTTAGGCTAAGAAGACGGCAAAATCGTACTTGCGAACTGAAAATCCTTTTGTTAAAATAATGTACCAATATGTATACGTATTCGGTAAAGCGAGGTCATCTTTCTTGGGAAAAATGCATTAAAGTGAACAATATTTATTCTACAGCTAAGTTTTGGAAGAAAATTAAGTCTGCGACGAAGCCCATATGACCTCTCGTCATTTGCTATAAATTACCGTCATACACAAATCGTATTGGTACATCCTCTGTAGTATACCATAAACAGTACCATCGCCTGAACCAGATCACGATCGTAGGATTTAGTGTGAACATTCCGAATTTTTCCGAAGTTGTCGCACACGATAATCTGTACACAAGAATGATCTAACCTTACTACAATAGTATGAAGATAGTCTAATTAACAGTTGCTGCTTTTTTACAATTTCATCGAGCTTCTTTCTGTGAATAAACTAAGTGACATATTCATGTTCCTACTGTGAACAGCCAGAAGATGAAGGGTATGAACGGAGAATTTACGAGTACCTTCTTTGTTACATATTTTAAATCGAATCGTACAAGATATTCGTCCTTTTTAGCCATTTGTTTCAATTGCAACTGGAATCTATTTAATACACATTTATGTTTCGTATGTCAGCTCTTACAACCACGCATTTCTTTTGCTTATGGCTGATTTGGAATAAGCCATATGTGGTCCAGCATTTCGCAGCCTTTGAATACAGCTTGCAGAAGATCCCCGTAAATAATTCCTCGCTAACTGCCCCCACTAAATATATTTCTCTCACGTCTAACACATATGGCATGTATTATCTGCATCCATATGCTTTTTTGTCCCTCAAATGTTGCAAATTTATCCGATCTGGTATGCCGTCTCCCTCTCAGTGCTAACTCCTAATTCGTCCTATATATCTCATTTAGCTCCTTACGCACATAACACCTACAAACCACCCACACTCTACTGTTTGTCTCTATCTATTCCAATATCTCTCGCGCGATTCAATAAGTGAAACCAACCCATAAAATATGTCCTAATTCTACGATGCCGCACTAACAACTTTGTCTACTTTAGGTAAACAAGTGTATCTAAGGTTTACATTTTTGTCGACCGAATGCAATATCTACGTCTCTATGATCTTTCGTCGTCCCATTAGGTATCATTCATCACCGTACCATCTTTTCATACAAACCGTATAAATTTGTCTGTACTGATTCCTGTTTGTATTTCCCAATTTAGTAATTTATTAAACTCCTCTTCTACATATAGTATGTGTTGAGGGGCATGACTGAAATGCACGGTTAAAATAATTTCCTAATTAGGAAGTATTTCACCTGTATGCAAAATATGATTATAAAATTTTGTGTCACATGTATAAGATCAATTGGTTATGTTTTTAAACATAGTATTTCAATAAGAAGAGCATAACATCAACATAAAAAAAAACAAGTGGACATATTTAAGTATTTCTTCCAATAATTGTTAGAGAGTTTATGCTTTTTTAAGGATTTTTTTTATAGTTTGACTAGTAAAGTTTATTTGAACCCCAATTTTTGTATTAATACCCACAACAAAGGACAATAATCTTTCGATCTATAAAAGGCTATGGCACGATTTACTTTTGGCAAAAACAAGAAAAGGCTTGAAGAGGCTAATACATCGTATGCTGATGATACGATGGATAGTAGCTCCCCAAGTGGACCAGTTCATGACTCACCGGTGAGTTCACCAGTAGCATCACCGGTACTTAGAAAGCAGCCGAAACTGAGAATTGCACCTGCAATTACTATAAACGGGACTACACCATGGAAACGACACAAATTGATCAATTCACCCTTCCCTAGGTACAGGCACTCTGCTGCTGCTGTTGCTAGTGAGAAGAATGAGATCTTCTTAATGGGGGGCTTGAAGGAAGGTTCCGTGTTTGGAGATACTTGGAAAATTACCCCTCAGGGACTGACCTTAGATGATGAAATTACCGGCTACGAAGCAAGTAATATTGAGGTTGTTAATCTCAACAATCCTCCCGCTAGAGTGGGACACTCCTCGGTATTATGTGGTAATGCCTATATTATCTACGGTGGTGACACAGTTGATACCGATTTCAACGGTTTCCCTGATAATAACTTTTACTTATTTAACATCAATAACAGCAAATATACCATACCAAGTCATGTTTTAAATAAGCCAAATGGAAGATACGGTCACACTATTGGAGTTATTTCATTGCATAACACCTCTTCCAAGCTATTCTTATTTGGTGGGCAATTGGAAAATGATGTATTCAATGATTTATATTTCTTCGAATTGAATACTTTCAAGAGCCCAAAAGCTAGATGGGAATTGATTGAACCGTTGAACAATTTTAAACCACCTCCTTTGACTAATCATTCCTTGTCAGTTTACAAGAATAAGATATATGTTTTTGGTGGGGTCTATAATAATGAAAAGATCTCAAACGATTTGTGGTGTTTTGATGCATTGATCAGTAAGTGGATCCAAGTCACTACCACAGGTAATGTGCCACCACCAGTCAATGAACATGCAAGTTGTATTGTTAACGACAAATTGTTTGTTTATGGTGGTAACGATTTTAGTGGTATAATCTATAATTCTTTGTATGTATTAGACTTACATACCTTAGTCTGGTCCAAACTAATTGAACAGGGTGAAAAGAATGGGCCCGGTCCAAGATGTGGTCATTCAATGACATATTTGCCAAAGTTTAATAAATTATTAATTATGGGTGGTGATAAAAATGATTATGCTACTTCAGATTCTGATGATTTTGAAACTTATGAATTGTATAATGGTGAAGAATATGGCACCATGATTTATGAATTGGATTTAGATATTGTCGAGCATTTCTTGTCTTCGAGTGCGGCTGCTAAGACTGCTGCTAAGTCCCCTTCCAAAAAGATGGCGGCTTCTGCTGCACCTATTGCTCCTGTGGTTGGTAATGATGACTCGAGGAGCAATCTGTTACGTCATGCAAGAAGTTACTCAGCAGGGCCTGATGATTTCAAAACACCTAATGTCTCACCCGAAAGAGTACCTAGAATTGTTACGGATTCCGAACCTCAAACCAAGCAAATTGATTCTCTATCAGGAGATAAGTTTGTAGATGTAGACGTTCCTTCAGCAAATATATCTGAGAGAGACATTTCAGTTGATGATCAAAAAGAGTTCGTCCCATCTGATGATGATGAAATTCCACCTATTTCTCAACGTAGATCTCGTGGCATCTTAGGAAATAATTCAGGCCCGGCAGCTAATGGAAACCGTCCTAAAGTATTAGGAAAAGACTATAACTACATAAGCTCTGATGAGGATTTAACACGAAGCAACAATGCAACTCCGGTTTTAGAAAAGAGCTCCGAAATCCCACCGTCAGCCGTTAGAAATGGAGAAGATGATTCAAAAATCAAAAAGTTAGTAAATGAATTAACAAGTGAGTTGAATGATTTGAGGGCTTCCACGAAAGCACAGATGCAAAATGCTACTGAAAAAATTAATTCATTAGAACAAGAAAACGCCTCATTGAGAGAAAATGATAAATCTACAAATTTGCAAGGGCAACTTCAAGACAAAGAAGCTCTACTTGGTGAAAAAGATAATTTGATTTATGAATTAAAACGCCAAGTTGACCCAACTGCACTTGCTATAAATGAAGATGAAAGTTCGGAAAGAGCAATCTCTACAGGAGGAATTTCAGAATTAAGTAAATACAAATTGGAGAGATTAGAGTTAAATAACAGACTAATTTATTTGGAGGATGAGAATGCTGCGTTAACAGCTAAATTTGCTGATTTTGAACCATTCATGAATAATCAAATTGGTCAATTATCAAACTTTCAAAAAATCATTAAAGCACAAGAAGAAAAGATTTCCAGGTTATCAAGCCAAGTTAAGGATCAAGAACCTTTACATAGAGAGATTAATGATTGGAAGAATAAATTCCTTAATTTGCAATTAGAATTTGATAATTTTAAAACCATAAATGCAGATGATCAATTTTCCGATAGCGATAACGAGCGTTTCGCTGAAGAACAAGGTGCTGAAGTTAATAGATCTATTGCAAGTAACGCCTCTGTCAGTAAAAAATCGAAAAAGGAAATTGCATCCCACTTAGAAAGTTTGATTGCTTTATGGTCTGCAAGAAGTGCATCTGAGCAAAAGGATATGTCAGGCGATGTTAATCCTAACTCTGAAAGTTCTGCTATGGTAACCAAGTTACAGAAACAATTAGATGATTTATTGAAAATTAGTAAGCAACAAGAAATGGGTTCATCGAATGAAATTCAAAGCTTGAAGAATGAATTAAATATTAAATTACAGAACTTGAAAACATTTGAAGAAAACTACAGAGATGCTTTACAATCTGTTAATAACACTAGTAAGGCTCTTAATTTAACTCAAGATGAATTGAATAATCAAAGAATTATGATGGAGAAATTGATTAAGGAAAATAATGAATTGAAATTATTCAGAAGAGCATCAAGAAGAGTTAGTGCAAGAACCCCTATTATTAATGAAGAACAATTTGGTGATAGTAATGTTGCGTCGCCAACGATATCTGAAACAAGTCCACACGATGATGATGCTGCTATTTCAAATGCTCATTATAATATGAAGGTCAAAGACTTAGAAGCTGATTTATACATTTTGAAACAAGAAAGGGACCAATTAAAGGACAACGTTACTTCCTTGCAAAAAGAATTGTATCTTTCTCAAAATACTCAATAAGTGTAACTATTTATTTATTTATTGTGTGCTGCTTAAAATTTTTTTTTTTCAGTATTTGATTTAATTCTTTTCATAAGCTAATGTCTTATTATCTATTTTTTTAATATTGAGAATCATGTCAATTCTCGTACTACCCCAAACCTATATTAATGTTATTCTTTTTGATATAAGAATTAAATAATATGTTTATGTTTATATTTACATACTTTTCGAGCTAAATAAATACCTGCTCATTACAAGTTTTATACATAAACTGCGATGTCTATTTTCAGTTTCGTATCATAATTGATATAAATATGGAGTCTATATCATTCATCTATTGATAATAATAAATTATGATCAATTATCTTGCTGTGGCCCACATGTACTCGAATTAGCATTTCTACCTGGATGCATATTAGTACCGGTACTGACATGATCATTTTCAAGCAATAACCTATCGTGATTAGCAGTTTCATAATTGGGAACCCAATCAGTTGATTCGCTGTCTATTTCAGCATGTGAGTTCAGAAGATTGTTACTATGGTATAAATTATCCTCTTCCTCCTCCTCGTCTTCTAAACTTTCGGGATTTGTAGGAGTAGTTGTAGATGTGGAGTTTTGGTAAGTAAAGAATCCGAATGACTGTGAATGCCTCGACGATGCACTATCATTTGATTCGTTAAGTAATTGATTTGTCTCTTCCCCCAGTTCCTCTATATTTTCTAATATTTCATTATTCCTATCAATTGGACTGATTGTTTCTGTTTCTTCTGCATCGTCTAAAGGTGGTGCGGACGGTAATAAGCTTGCCTCGCGTGCTCTCATTTGTTCTTTCTCGGACAAGTGTTGATGCGTCGGCATTTGAACAGGCGCTAAACTTGAATTTGCATGATAATTATTTGAAACTTCTTCATAGCCAGGAATAGGTGTATCAGCAATATTTAATGGTGAACCCTGCTGGTTTTCAAAATAAGGAGGTGTGGAAAAATTATTAGCAGGTATGACTTCTGAGAGTGGATTAAAGCTCGTTGGTTGTTGATGACCTTGTTGAGAAGGTGGTGTTGACCCAGTTTGATTAAATAATAATGGGGAATCATTGGAACCAGACACAGATGAGGACTTTCTTGAAGTCGGAGAAATAGAGTTGAGATTATCATGTAATGGTTCATTAGATCGTTCGTTAGAAGTGTAGGCCAGACGCTCATTCAGACGATTGGTTCCAATGATTACCTCAGTTGTTAAAAGTAGAAATTTCTTCATTCTTTTATATTTATCGGTATTAATAAATCCCGATCTTTCATTTTGATTCATAGATGCATTTGAATTGAAATTAAACTTATATTTCAAATCATTTGAAGGATTTTCCAATACTGAATGGTTTGTCTCATCTGTCGATATACTGGGTTTGTGGTGATTACTGCTATCTAGTACTAGGGATTTCCCAGATAAATTAATCAATACTTCAATAAAATATTGAAATGATACTAATGGACACCCAGATATCGTCGGAAATGCATCAGCTGGAACTCTTAAACTTGTGTTAATTTCAGATTGAAATGTATTTGGATCAACATATAATGGAAGTACCAGTTGTTGCAAATCCTTTCTGAATGACTCAACCATGTTTTCATGACCATTGCTGAGTCTACATACCCTAACTAACGTGACGATAATACCATTCAAATCTTGAATTTTTCTTGAATGATTAACATTAAGTTTTATAGGAATCAATTCACCTCTAAGAAAACCTCTTTCAGGAATCTCAAGCGCAACTTTGATAACCTGCGGTCTAGCATTATCTAACCCATTCAATGGTGAATTGGAATTAGAGTGGGATACACTATTACCTGGTGTATTACTATTCGAATGAAATTCACCATTTGTTGTAGTATCTGAATTATTTGAGGATAAAGTGTTAAATGTGTTTACTGTGTTCAATGTTGATGTCGAGGACTGAGTTCGGGATAACTTTTTACTTAGACGGGGATCTTTAATAATGAGTCTTTTAGGTTTGGATCTAGGTAATTTTGAAACGTCTATCGGATTTATTAAAGTAATGATCTTTTCCGATGTGTAGACCGAATTATGAAAGTTCAAGTTTTTAGTCTTCAGAATAAAATTGCTCTTCGTTGTATTATTATTATTAGAGTCCGACAACGGCGAGGCTGCCGGACTATCATTAGCAAATGATGATGCATTCCCCACGGCTGCCTTTAACGAATATTTAATTGAGCCCTTCCCGAAATCAATACTCGTAAACACTCGTTTGTTAGGCAACTTAACAATAAACGGAAACCTATGCTCGCCTTTAAACAATCCATTACTGAACTCTTCACCGTTTTCGTTATTATTGCTACTATTTTCGTCTCCATAAATTTTTATTGTATGATGAAATAATAGCTCTTTAACGGGGCGTAATTTAGAGTGTGATGATGCATTTATCTTCACACTCCCTATCAACGACAACGTTATTACTATGTTTGCAAGATCTTTCTTAGATATAAATATTATTTGTCCCGATATTTCGTCTCCAGGAAGCCAGGATCTATGGGGATCTGCTAGCAGGATATAAAACTCGTCCACAGAATTGAAATCCATTCTATACTTGAAGTTTGTGTCTCCCGATAGCAATGACCCACTCTGTAGGAACCTAGGAGGCCCATTTGGGATTATTTTTGATACAGCTCTTCTCATCTTTCGCCTTTATACAGCATGGACTTGCTGTTCAATTTATTACAAATTCTCTTTTATTTTAATAGATACAACACTGAAAATAAATAATAAACCCCGGAGTTATTGTGCTTATTTATCTTAAAAAGGTTAAACGTTCTTAAAGACTGTATATCAATTATTCGATTGATTTATTTCTCCAGCTTCTATTAGCGTATGCTGTTATTGTCCGGCGATATTCCGCTCAAAGGGAGTATGCTCTTTTTGACATATTAATGACAGACGTTATATACAGGATATTATATCTTATACCAGTTGAAGATCCTATATTTAGTCAACAATAGACCATATAGAGACAAATATACCTCATATTAAGATGAACATGTACAGCGGATTAGAGTCTTTGGGTGGAGAATTCGATTTATACTACCTGAGCTTTTGCAAAATCGAGTTTATTTCGTAAATAAAATCCCGGCTATACTCTAAGCGACATTAGGATGAAAACTAGTAGACCAATTAACTAGTTTCCTAAGAGGCTGTTGAAAAAAAACAAAAGCGTAGTATAGCTAGTTTCAGAACTTACAATTGCAGACTTATAGTTAAAATTATATTTTATGTACTAAATGATACTATTAAGCTATATGTTATAATATGCAAAAAACAAAAAAAGACAAAAAGATATATCAAACGAAGAAAAAGTATAGTGTAGTGTACAGTAAATTATCAAGCTTATTTTTCATGTTGTAGCAATTAATCGAAGGTTTTCTTAGTACCCTTGAATTCAGCTGAGTTTGGAGCAGATCTTGGAGGAGCAGATCTTTCACGGCCACCGAAACCGCCTCTACCACCGTTACCACCGAAGCCACCACGGCCACCGAAATCACCACGACCACCACGGTTACCGCCGAAGCCACCTCTTGGGGCATTGCTGTTGTCTCTTGGAGTGGAGAAATCTAATCTACAAGCACGACCATCAAGATATTCACCGTTCAAAGCTTCTAAAGCAGCCTTGGCTTCATCGACAGATGAAAATTGAACGTAACCGAAACCCTTTGGTTGTTGAGTGTCTGGGTGTGTTGGGATTCTGCACGAGACGACAGTACCGTATTCACCGAAAGTGTTGAATAAGCTGTCTCTTTCAGCATTGAAAGATAAGTTACCAACGAATAAAGTGTCTGATGGAGCAGATGGAACATCACCGAATTGCTTAGCTCTATCGGTCTTTGGGTTAGAAGCATGAGGCTTACCAGTAGACATGTCTAAGTTAATTGGTCTACCGTCAAGTTCTTTACCTTGATATTCTTGTAATGCCTTTTCTGCGGCAGACTTGGAGTCGAAGTCAACGTAACCATAACCTCTAGATTTACCAGTAGATCTTTCCATGATAACTCTAGCACTAATAACACCACCAACTGGTTCGAATTCCCTTCTTAACCATTCGTCATCAATGTTCCATGATAATCTACCAACAAATAAAGTAGCTGGTTCTTCATTGGTCTTTGGCTTCTTTGCGATTGGTTCTTCAGAGGATTCTTCAACTTCTTCAGAAGACTCTTCAACCTTACGCTTCTTGGAATCTTTTTCTTCTTCTTCTGAGTCGCTGTCTGAGTCAGAATCAGAATCGGAAGATGAAGATGAAGATGAAGATGAATCAGAGTCAGATTCGGATGATGATGAAGATGATGAAGATGCTTCTTTCTTAACTTCTTTCTTGGCTACCTTCTTGGTGTCCTTCTTGACTTCCTTCTTGATTTCCTTCTTTGGTGCTTCTTCTTCGTCTGAAGAATCAGAGTCTGAAGATGAAGATGAAGAATCAGAGGAGTCGTCCTTCTTTTCTTTCTTCACTTCAGCTTCGGATTCAGAATCAGAACTGGAGTCAGAATCAGAAGATTCCTTCTTTTCTTCTTCCTTTTCTTCATCAGAGGAATCAGAATCAGATTCGGATGATGAACTTGATTCAGATTCTGATGAGCTAGAAGAATCAGAAGAGCTAGATTCAGAAGAAGACTCTTGCTTCTTAACTTGCTTCTTAGCCTTAACTTGCTTCTTATCAGCCTTAGCAGATTTAGTTGATGATTTAGCCATTATTGATTAATTTATATTTCTAATTGTAATAATCTTCGCCGATAATTGAAGAAAAGATATTTAACTTTATACCTTATAAATTAAATGCTATAAGGGCATCTCTGAAAATTTTGAAAAAAAAAAAAAAAAAAATTAAGGAAAAAGGTCATGTGACTATTGAGATGCCCAAATGCTTGCAATAAGTTTTCTGGGGTTGAGTGACTATTCAACTTACTGACATCTTTTATAATATCTTGAAACGACATTTGTGTAAACTAACTAAATGGCAAATCTCTTTCTATACTATAGAGTGCTGTTTAGTTTAATCTCTGGGTCTGCATTTCGTTTTCTTTTATTACAAATATTTTATAAAATCTCACAATTTTGGAAATAATTGAAGTTATTGAAAGCGAATCTTTGTTTTAATACTTAATATCTATATTATCTATAGTATTTCGAAGATACTTCTTTAGAGAGAACCTTTTAGGTGGGATATCATTGGAATACAATGTACACTAATACCCATTATCTGACAATACGTAAAATATCCACATGTTTATAGAAAGCAATAATGATATGTGATGTTACCCTAATTATTCATTAACTAGAAACACTCGCATGTAAGGAAGGTTATCTTGATGAATTGGATCAGGATTCCTTCCATTATGTCCATTGTGGGTTAACATATTTTACCCTTAATGTATATTTTGCAGCAAGTCGGATTATGCATTACAAAACATTTGAGAAATAATTATTGTCAAGATAAATAAATCCATGTGTGACGTTGTGACGTTCTTATAATGAGCAAACTGAAAGCATAGCTGATACTGGGCTTTTGTATAGCGAAGCTCAGCTTCAGCATATGCTACATACAGAAGGAATAGTATCTGTAGGTATATGCACGTGACAAAAATAACGCTCCGGTACCGGGCAGGGAATCGCCCATTCATTATTTTTCAGTCATAGTGGTTCCATTACGTTTTATTATTTCTATCGATTGTTACTTGTTGATTTAGTCATCTCATTTATAGGTAGAATAAATTTGAAAAGAAGAAAGCAGAAATACTGGAAACAGAACTATGTTTAAACAAACTGCTACACTCTTTCAGAAAGCAGCATCTGCTGCAAAGCCATATGCGAATATGCTAAAAGACCCAAGCCAAAAGTATAAAGCTTTCAAAGGAGTCGCTTTACCTGACAGAACTTGGCCTAATAAGACGATCACTAAGGCTCCAAGATGGTTATCCACCGATCTTAGAGATGGTAACCAAGCATTGCCAGATCCTATGTCGATTCCAGAAAAGAAAGAATATTTCCATAAGTTACTTGAGATTGGGTTCAAAGAAATAGAGGTTTCATTTCCATCAGCTTCTCAAACTGATTTTGATTTTACCAGATATGCTGTTGAGAATGCACCAGAAGATGTCTCTATTCAAGTTTTGACCCAGTCTAGAGAACCATTGGTTAGAAGAACAGTCGAATCAGTCAAAGGTGCTAAGAAGGCTACAATCCACATTTATTTAGCCACCTCTGATGTTTTCCGTGATGTTGTATTTGATATGTCAAAAGAAGACGCTGTAAAGAAGGCGATTGAAACCACCAAGTTAGTGAGATCATTGACCAAAGATGATCCAAGTGCACAAGAAACTGAATGGGCTTTGGAATTCTCTCCAGAATGTTTTTCTGATACTCCAACAGAATTTGCAGTAGAAATCTGTGAAGCTGTCAAAAATGCATGGGAGCCAACTGTCGAAAATCCAATTATCTTTAACTTGCCTGCAACTGTTGAAGTTGCTTCTCCAAACATTTATGCTGATCAAATTGAATATTTCTGTAAAAATATTACTGAACGTGAGAAGATATGTGTTTCTGTTCATCCTCACAATGACAGAGGGTGCGGTGTTGCAGCAGCAGAATTAGGTTTAATGGCTGGTGCAGACAGAGTTGAAGGTTGTTTATTTGGCAGTGGTGAACGTACTGGTAATGTCGATTTAGTTACTGTTGCATTGAATATGTACACTCAAGGTGTTGCTCCAAACTTAGATTTCTCCGATCTTGAATCTGTTATTGAAGTCACTGAAAGATGTAACAAGATCCAAGTTCATCCAAGAGCTCCATACGGTGGTTCGTTGGTTGTGTGTGCCTTTTCCGGATCGCACCAGGATGCCATTAAGAAGGGATTCGCAAAGGCTGATGAAAGAGTCGCTAGAGGTGACACCAAATGGGCTATTCCATACTTACCATTAGATCCAAAGGACATTGGTAGAACTTACGAAGCTGTCATTAGAGTCAACTCTCAATCTGGTAAGGGTGGTGCAGCATGGGTCATATTAAGATCATTAGGACTTGATCTTCCAAGACAACTCCAAGTAGCATTTTCAAGTATCGTGCAAGAGAGGGCCGATAGACTTGGAAGAGAATTGATGACAGAAGAAATCAACGACTTATTCAGAGAACAATACATGTCGCATGATAAGTCTCCAATCACTCTCGATGGCTTCGACATTCCAAAGCCAGCCTCGTCTTCTTCCAAGAACAACCGTGAAATCAACGTTTCCATACATGTTAACGACCAGCTTGTAAGCATTACCGGTCAAGGTAATGGGCCAATCTCTGCTTTCATCGACGCCATCTCCAACAAGTTTGGCACCTTATTCGAGGTCGTCAACTACTCAGAACATTTACTAGGCTCTGGAAGTCAGGGTAAGGCCGCAACCTACATCGAATTGAGCTACCTCAACCAGAATGGCGACAGAGTCTCCAAATGGGGATGTGGAATACACTCCGATGTCTCTGAAGCTTCCATCCAGGCCATTCTTTCTGTGGTTAACTCTTCCATAGAATCAAAAGAAATCCCTGTATGATAACCAATAAATACATATGTCCAGTGTTCTGTGGCTCCTCCGTCCCGGATCCCTTCTTATATATTCGAATATCAATAATATACAATCAGAATGCACGCATTACTCACTACAATTTATGGAAACAATTTGTTAGTTTGAAATTAGTGTACAATCATTCTCTAGAATTAACTCTCAGAATATTTCCTTTACTATATAGAAAGAATTTGCTGGATAATTATATACAATTTTTCTTAAATAACAATGCTAGAATGCACTAATTGATAGAATTATTAAATTTACATTCTTTATTTTACGATTTTAACTTATGCAAACAATATTGAGACATTTAATGGCACATCTGATAACATGTTACAACAAGGTTTCGTACTGAACAATGAACAAGCGAATGTTACTCAATGCACTGTGGCTGCAGCAAACTACTCAAATGGTAGTAGTTTGACAATACTTGTTGAGTATGACGATAACGATGTTGACAAGGTTGGTAAATACAATAAAGTTCTAGATAGCACTAAAACTTAATTACAACAGAAAGTTTCAAATGGTTCTCAAAGTGAACAAAATTCTGATAGTGTATTAATAAGAGACGAAGAGTCAACTACAGTAGATCACATAAAAGTTGTTATTAAATATGGAGGAGCAATAACTGACCTAGCTTCAAGCATTCTAGTCGGTATAATAAGCTCAGGATATGGTAAATGGCGTGAAGGTGATGATAGTGGTAGAAAGTGCGTTGGTCGAGGCGGTCTTTTACCTTTTGGAAAAACCTGGGGCTCGGCGGCTGGCTATTATTATGCGGAAACTTGTGCTTCTTCAGGGCAGAAATGTAGTACTAAAGCTAGTCAATCAGCTCTTGAAGATGCAGCTAACTGGGCAGACAATGAGTTAGATAATGACCCTAATGCCGATAGTTGGAAAGTTGGTTTCTCAAATCAAGGAGCTTGGAAATTCTGTGTTAGAGTAGTACCGAAAGCAGCATGTAATTCATACAGTGACTGTTACGATAAGGCACATAATATGGGATGTCCAGCAGACTTCTGTAGCGGCGATGCATTTAAGAACCATGATCATGACGAACTCTAGATAACTTAACATATTATTGGTTTAGGAAAGATAGTTTATCTATAAAGTATATCAATACTAAATTAAGTAACAAAACAAAACAAATATCACTCTTCTTCATATTCCTGTAATCATTTTCATCTCTTCTCGTTCTGTTTCTGTATTATGGACAATCAAACTACAACTTACAATCGGTTTCCTGCCCACAACCCGTTATAGCAATCTCTTTATATCTAGTGTCTACGAATTTGGCATCACAACAAACCTGGTAAACTCAATATTTCTCATACCTCCAAAGTAGTTACATTGATAAATCGACATAGTACTAGCCCGAACAAGTATAATGTAGCATATACCTGACATACCTATCCACTTTACACTATCGTTTGGAAAGTCAAAGGCTGGCGAAAGTGTCAAACTAAGAATGGCGAATTGGGTAACATTCTTATAGAAGACCCAACTACTGCAAAAACCACGAACTTTACGATTTAGTTGACAAAATAATGGTAGAATAAGCAGAACATACAAAAATTTATTAGAGAGTCAATGATAAGCTGTGAGAATATAGATCATACGATAAATGTAAAACTTATTTATTTTAAAGTTAATGTAGAAAGGCTAAAGGTTCAATTAATTCGACTTATTTCAAAAAAAAGTTAACTAAGATGTGGTAATATTTAGAACGACGATAGTTATATAATGGTGGAAGGACCAAATTCATATATTACCATAACAAATTGAAGAAGTAAGGTTTAATGCTGCTAAGAAACGAGCATACATTCAAAATGAATCTATCGAGTGATATATTAATCAATATATGTTGAAGCATCAAAATTATAGTACACCTTATAATTTTAAGCTTTAAGAAAAAATTAAAAGTGACAATTGAAACTAAATACAATTAGAGAAATTTATATGAAGACACATCGAATCTCAATTTGTTAGATATTTCATCATAATCAACTTCAATTTCATTCAGTTCTTCAATATATTTGTTGTTCGCATAATCTAATCTCTTATAACATTTTTTGTTCATTTTCTTTAAAAGCTTAAGCACGCTAAAATTGCTGGATTTTATGCATGCTTCAATGTAGCAATACTCTATATCAACCCTAATATATTCTTTCATATCATTACGATGATACATTATAGCACTATAGCACTGTAAATAAAATTATGTCTATACAAAGGGTTGATTTCAATGTACTCGTTCACATAATTAAAGTCATACAGGGAATTGCCGAAAGCTAAAAATGGTTTATGTTTCTTCACTAATTCTAATGAAAGTGAAGGTGCAATAATAACAAATTTACTCAAACAGTAATCCATGAGATTATTTTTTGAATATGATTCTATAGCAAGCCTGGCATCATTCATTATAATGATTTCAGTTAGAGGTGTGAGAACTTCAGATTTCCTTGTGACCATTATCTAAATAAACAAACAACAATTCCCTTTCGAGACTACAGATGTTTTCATTACCACCTGGAGGAATAGTAAAAGAATAAGGGCCTATATCTTCCCTTGTATATTTAGGAGCAGATAAAATAAACCTAGAATAATTGGTAAGTCTTTTTGATTCTCTATCGTCAGGCAAATTATACAGATATTTCAACTTATTTATCGGATACAAATAAGTGGGAGTAATTGATAATTCAAATGAATTCAAAACAGAAATAAAAGATATCATGCAAATCTTCATATTTCAATAAATCTTCCACATCTTCTTTGGCTATATTTATGTACAAAGAATAATCAAACTTTTTAAATATAACTTAGAGTCGTACTTACCGTTCCTTATATACGTTGCAGTAATACTCATTTTATATCTTCTGTCAATAAATTCGATTTCATGTAAAACAAACTCAGCAAACTCAAAATTCCTCTTACATCCATAGTCAATACAATAATAGATTGACTCAAAATTTTCTTCCATTAAAGTAGACGTTACTACTTTTTTGAATCTATTTAAATCTCCATAATAAGCTTATTTGCGAAGAGAAATAATACCTCCAGCATTATACGTATGTAGTTCCTTTTCTATCTCTTTAAATAACATTATTCTAAACTCTAAATATCGTGTGAATTGTCTTTACTACCATTGCGTTGAAAGGAGTATAATGCAACACTATAAACTTTTAGGGCTTCTACCCGGGCGCACATGGATGTGACTGCTTTACGAAAAATTCACTTCCAGAAAACCGCACGTGATATTTTCGATCAATTTTTTTTTCAGTCCATCCCGTTCACGCTCTTTGGACATAGCTAGTATAGTGAAAAAAACCGAAGTAAAATATTTTAAGAAGAATTGTTAAATCGTAAAGCAAGTGTACAACTTAAAATTCATTAAAGATGTCTACTTTTGAACCAGTTGTTGTTATTGATGGTAAGGGCCATTTATTAGGACGTTTAGCTTCTATTGTTGCTAAGCAATTGTTAAATGGACAAAAGGTTACCGTCGTTAGATGTGAAGCCATGAACATCTCTGGTGAATTTTTCAGAAATAAGTTGAAGTACCACGATTACTTAAGAAAGGCTACCAGATATAACAAGACCAAGGGACCATTCCACTTCAGAGCGCCATCCAGAATTTTCTACAAGGCTATCAGAGGTATGATGCCTCACAAGACTGCTAGAGGTAAGGCTGCATTAGAAAGACTTAAGGTTTTCGAAGGTGTTCCACCACCATATGACAAGAAGAAGAGAGTTGTTGTTCCACAAGCTTTAAGAATCTTGAGATTGAAGCCAGGTAGAAAATACACCACCGTTGGTAGATTATCATCTGCTGTTGGTTGGAAATACGAATCTGTTGTTGATAAGTTAGAAGAAAAGAGAAAGTTACAAAACGCTGAATACTACGCTAAGAAGAAGGCTTTAGCCAAGAAGGTCAACGCAGCCAAGGCTGCCACTGCCGAATCTGATGCTGCTAAGCAATTAGCTTCATTCGGATATTAGAGATTAAGTACAGTTACTTGTTACATTAAATAACGTTTGGGCAAATATTTCTAATATATCATAATTATTTAGTCGAGTGATGGTTATGTTTTATATATTATTATTCTGTAAGTAATACAAAATTGAATAGTAAACGAGTTTGGTTGTAGGATACGAATTTAGCCTAGGATGTAGTACTAGAATACAGATGAACTATATCAGCAAAATTATATATGTTTTGGAGAAGCAAACGAATCCCTTCACATTGCATGGTTGGAACGTATAAGTCGAACTGGTATCATTTGCCCCATTGGCTCCTTATTCTAGCGATTTTCGTTATTTAGTTGAAGATAAACAAATAGTTCAGTTTGTCAACCCGACCCGATCCTTTGGTATAAATCTCTAGTGTGTGAAATTAACTAAACAATAAACATTACAGCTTTAAAGCCTAGATGACTTCGTCTAATGCTAGTTTAGTCTACATACATAACCCAGATATAAAGAAATGCATTGAATATAGTATCAATTTAATTGATCAAGATACCGACTTGCAGTCATATAACATAGTGTACGTCAATTGCACCATACCGAACGACCTATTCAATACGATCAATGCTTTGCCGATACAATTCAAAAATAATACCAATGTTATGAAATCGTTTCATTATCACAAGGCCAATAGCTTACAAGATTTGCAACACTTGATATCTAGTCAAACGAGTGATTTTATAATGATAATCGAATCAATAGATCAGCTTGTCAAGTTAACGAATTTAAATTACATCGAAGTGAATTCGTTATTAACTAGAATATTGCTACTGTTGAAGAGGAACAAGTTGTCCTTATTATTAGACAGGTATTGTAATAGCTATATAGAATATTTTGTTAATGATGTATATGAAGGTTAAGTTTACGAATGATACGAGCAAAATTTAGAAATCCACAGTTGTTTATCATTAACAAGAATAGAAACCTGAACTATTAATAGTACGGTGAGTAGATTACTTATAGCTTCAAGAACCTTTGCTATCATTTCTATTCCTTACAAGCATATGTAGTGATTTACTTTATACAAAAGTGTCCACTTTTCATATTTGATATTGATGTACCTATTTAACCCAAATATATCACGGTTACATATATTCAAGGCTCTAATTCTCTTCGTTGAGTCTTAAATGGCATTGGTTATCCAAATTATCATAGGGTTGGAATGCAAAATAGATCATCAAAAATGTAACACAAAATTATGGAGGGATATCAACAGTAGTAAAACCAACATAGTTAACAACCTTAAACTCATTAATCACAATGAATTCGTTTGATTATAACCCAATAGATCATTTGAATAAGATATTACATTCATCTGGATCTATTGAAGAAGTTCCAGAGCTCCTAGCTTATATAAACGCCTACAAGCTTCAATTAAATAAACAAATACAACATGATGTAACTCAGTACAACTCACCAATAGCATTAAATGAAGACACAAAAGAATTAATAGAAAGCATAAAGACAATTAAGGCCAAATCAGCGGACACACAAGGTTCCATTGTTTCACTGACTTCGTCAATACAAGAATTGGACAAATGTAAAAAGAATTTAGTTCTACTGATGACTATTTTGAAAAGGTTGCAGATGTTAATAGATGCCAACAAGACATTGAATTCTATAATTTCCAGTAAACATTATAAGGATATTTTACAATTGTTAAGTGTTGTTAAAGAATTATTAACTTATTTCAAGCCGTATAGATCAATCGATGAAATTAACCAGTTGAACTTGAATATTCTGAAGACTCAGAACAAATTGGTTGATGATATTTTTATCGATTTTGAAGACACGATAGTTAACAAATTGGATAATGATCAATTATTTTATGGTTGTGAGATCTTAGAATTGATTGATTTCAAATACAAAGATAAATTACTCAACTGGTTCTATAACTTACAACTTAAAGACATTAAATCAATCTTCAATAATTTAGACGAGGCTGGATCTTTGGAAAATCTTAACAGAAGATATATGTACTTTAATAATACCTTGGCAAGCATTCATCTGAATTACATGGATATGTTTCCGAAAGATTGGTGTATTGATCTAGAATTGAGCAAAATATTTTGTACTATAACAAAACAAGACTTAACTTCACAATTGAATAACTCAATCCCTTCAAATGGCCTTCTTGATGCTTTAACTAAAACTTTGGATTTTGAGAAGAACTTAAATAACATTTTTAAAACGCATGAGTTTAATCAAATTATCCTGAAGGTATTCGAACCGTATTTATCAATCTGGGTCAATGAACAAGACAAATTATTGCATGCTAAGTTTTTAGAGTTTTACTCAGTCAGCCAAATACCTACTGAGTATTCCAGCGCACAAAATCATGAAGATTTCATTAACGTTTTAAGAATAAATAATGTTCCAAACATATCTAACTCATCTATTGAATTGTTCAAAACTTTTCAAAAAATCTTGTCATTAATTATCAAGTTAAGTTCTGGTTCAATTTTAATTGACTTATCGAAATTATTCGTAAAATATTTAAATGCATTTAATAGCAAAATCCTTCTACCAATGATACCGAATAATAGTGAAAATCTAAATGGCATTGAACCTATCAAATACCTCACTATGATTTTGAATACGGGGGATTATATTTTGAATAATATTAATGATCTTCAAGATAGATTCACTAATCTAATCGATGAACCTTTTAAACAGACAATTTCTTTCGAGACAATTAAAGATGTTTTCATCGACTTGATTAATAAATCGATTCAAACATTGTTGCTCAAAATATCTAATGATTTACAATTTTCATGGAGACAGTTCACAAATAATAACTGGAATAATATGGAGCAAACAGTGCAAATTTCGAACTACATGATTGACTACAAACAAAGTTTATTAGACAATTGTACATTGATCTTACCGTTAATTATAAGAGAGGGATACATAAGAAACTTCTGTGATAAATTAACGGAATTGATTACAAACTCATATTTAAATAATTTGAAGTTGGTTACTCCATTAAGTATTATTAATGTTGAACAGATCATGTGTGATATACAGAATTTGAAGAAGCTTATCCTTGATTTACCTCTATATTCAAATCCAGCTTTTGATCCATCCAACAAAGACGAGCATTCCAGTATCAATTTGAAGACATATACTAAACATGTTGAAAATCAATTTAATAAGCTTGATACTGTTTTGAAATTACTTTTAACTCCAACGCTTCCTATCGACAACTTAATTATGAACTATTTTCAAATTATTGGTGACAAGTCAACGGCAAATTTTGTCAAATTTTTAAAATTAAAGAGTATAGATCCTGGCCAGAGGTTTAAGTATGTTGAAATATTCAACCTACAGATATCATACCAAAATACCTTAATTGAGGAGTCTCCTATATTAGCAGCAATACAAGATGATACACCTATTGTAAATAGCAGCAATTCGACCCCTACCCCAACGTTAAAATCCCCTGAACCTGAAGCTAAATCCCCCAAATTATTGAATGCAAACTTTCAGAATAATTTGAAAATTAATAACTTCGAGAAAAACTTACGAGATTTTGCATTAACAGGGGAAACTCATGTTAATAAGTTTAAGAATTTTGGAAAGTTCTTTAGGAAAGATAACAGTAATAGTAATGAATAATGCCTGATTTTATAAGTCGTTATATAGTCAATGGAAGGATCAATTCAACTTAATATTTGTCACGTGACTGTAGCCTGTTATATCATTTTGTCATCGGTTTCAAGTAAGTAAAATCCATTATATTACATTATGTCAAAAGTAGTTAAAATATGTGGTATTAGGACCGAAGAGGCAGCAAATTGTGCTATCGAATCGGGTGTTGATTTACTTGGAGTGATTTTGGTTCCTAATAGAAAGAGAACCGTTGATCACGATGTAGCCAAAAAGATTTCACTTTTGGCTAGCGATAAGAGAAAGACAAAGGATACTCAATTCAAAACTGTAAATTCTATATTGAAGCATCTAGAGGGGCAATCATTTCCGAATATTGACCAATATTTTATTGCATTTAAGCAATTAATATTAGATAATGGGCCATTTTTAGTTGGAGTTTTCAGAAACCAAGATATTTCGGATGTATTCAAGATTGCAGGGGAGCTTAGTTTAGATTTCATACAGCTTCATGGGAATGAGGATAAAGAAAAATTTTGCCAATATAATTTACTGAAAGAATCATGTACATACGGGATCATTCCAAGATTTGTGATCCCAAAAGATATTGATGTGATGGACAAACTCTTTACAGAAACAATCAGAGATAATGTATATGTTGGCAGTGGTTTAGCGTTGCCATTATTGGACTCTGAATTGGGAGGGGAAGGTAAAACTATTGATTGGAAAGCAGTCGATGATTTAAAGAAAGGCAAATTTATCTTGGCTGGAGGCTTAAATCCCTCTAATGTTCAAAGTGCTTTCGTGATCAACAACGTAATAGGATTTGACGTAAGTGGTGGTGTTGAGGATGAAGATGGGAATAAAGATCTAAAGAAAATTGAAAGTTTCATAAAAGCTGTCAAGGAAACTGAATGACAACGACTTTCTATAGATATTTACTAGTAATAAGCGAATAATGTATATTAAAGACAAAAATGGGTCATGTAGTTCGAGTTTGTCCTAACTACTAACTAAATCTGGTAAATATATCATTTGAGCAGATTTTTAGTATTATATTTACGGTAATCTATGAAATAGGTATATATGAACACAATTAATTTTAATAAAACTTTCAAAATGTAAATTAATCAGCTTGATCCCAATTACCAGGTCTTGGCTGTTTAGGCATTTGCGGACCACCGGCTCTCTTGGCCATAATAATTTGATCGATAGATAAGATTGTATTTGTTGCGTCGGTTGCCAAGTCGATGGCAGACTTCTTAGCAGATAATAAATCAAGTATACCATGTTCTTTGACGTCCAATAATCCATCATCTGAATCATTATCAATATCAATACCGATAGTTATACCTTTGTTATCGTCTAAGGCATGAGCAGCATACAATTTACTTAACAATTCAGAGGAATCTAATCCCGAAGTCTCAGCTAACACTCTTGGGATAACCTCAAAAGCCTTAGCGTAATGTTTAATAGCTAATTGCAATAAACCTGGTGTTTTCTCACCATATTGTGTAATTAATTTAATCAATTCAATTTCAATAGCACCTGCACCTGGTAATAATCTATTATCCTTTAATAAACCCTTGATTGCGTTAACACCATCATCAATAGCTCTTTCAATATCATCAAGACTATTTTGGGTAGCACCTCTAAGAATAATAGTAGAAGTTCTTGAAATAGATTCATCTTGTCTGAAAATTGTAACTCTATCACCACCGATTTCTTTAGTTTCAATCACGTCAACAACACCCATTTCATCTGGCATTGGAGCACCTAATCTTGGTAAAGGAGTAGCACCACATACTTGACAGATTCTTCTTAAGTCGAATTTAGATGGGACTCTCAAAACCAAAATACCGTGCTTATTGAAATAATGTAAGGCTAACTCACCAATATTTGCACCAGCTACAACAACCTTAACACCAGAATCTGAAATCTCCTTACACATTTGGTCTAATTGTTGTTCTTCACCTTTAGTGAAGTCTAACATTTCTTTAGCGTTATGTAACAACACGGTACCCTTGGTTTCAGTAGTCGAAATATCAATTGGACAAGTGAATACCACAACCTTCGACTTGGTTTTGATGTTTTTAATATGTCCTTCTGGTTCTCTTGGGAAAACCATACCTTTTACAACTTCAGAATTGGATAAACTGGAACCCATAATCTTCACCACTCTGATAGAATCGATATTGAAATTTTGTGGTTTCTTAGGGTTTATGACGATCTTTACTGCATCAATGACCAACTTTGAAATTAAATCTTCATTTCCATATTGTTTAGCTGAAATGACAGGCTTGATGACCTTCAATAATTCGCTGGTTTCAGTAATCGACTCAACGTTACTAACAACCAACGATTCTAATGTATCCATGACAAACTTATTTGCCAAATTATACCCTTGCATGATTTCAGTCACATTCAATCCTAAATTGAGTAATTTTTCAGCAATGTTCAAAAATTCCCCTGCCAAAATGATAACTAGGTTGGTATTGTCACCCATCTCAAACTCTTGTTGCTTAGAGGCCATGATCAAAATTTTCACTGCAGGGTGTACAATTTCTAATTCATTGAGCATAGTAGCAGCATCATTTGTTATAAAAATCCTTCCTAATTGATTAATGATAATTTTATTTCTACCACTTGGTCCCATCGATGTCAATAAAATCGATGATATTTCTCGAACTGCTTCAATATTTTTTATAATTACCCCATCAGCACTGGTGTGCGATTGGTATCCTTGCTTAAATAACCCAGAATTTGGGGCTTGAGGTAATTTAAGCGACATTATTATTCGATATACACGGTTTAATGAAAAACTATTCTTGTTGATTTGCCCTTTGATGAATTTTTTGATCAACCAAACCAAAATCTCAAGCCGCATTTTTGTGTAATCATTATATAAGCAGCAGTCGTTCATACTTAAGAACTAGATTACATGGTACGTAGTAAAATTGGATTTAATAGAGAGCTATATATAGTAGACGTAGTTTGCATAGACTAAGTGAATTATTATATTAATGGTCAGAATAAATTATAATTAGAAATATTACTTCGTACTGCGGCAACTTCAAATATGTATATGGAAAGTGATTTATTCAACTATCAGCAATCTTGGAAATAGTCTCAAGGTCTCTATCAGTTATAGCGTCGATATCTTTAAAACTTGCTAGTAATTTTAGATCCGAGTCTGGAAATTTGTCGGCATGTTTGGAAATTATCAAATTGAAGTTTTTGAAAACTGTCCCATATTTATCTAGTTTATCTTTGAGTAAATCAACATCTTTCTGATATTTGGATACATTGTTCTGGAGCTGTTGTTGTGCATGCTTCTTGCGTTGCCTGCACTTGGAAGCTGCTAGTCTGTTGCGTTCCAATAGTCTTTCTTTTTTCCAAGCTGCCGTCCCGGGAATTGGCCCATTATTAGGATTGTAGATCACTTCATTATTGTATATTAATTGATGGTTTGGAGGAGGAACGCCTGCTGCAGGTGCCGAACCTCCAATTTGGATTTTGGGCGACTCAGATTTCAACTCATTCTTTATAACAGATCCCTGTTGCTGTTCCCGCAGTATATCATGATCTACTTTTAATTGTGGCTGAGAAACCAATTCCTTCGGAGGCAATTGAGGGTGTTGATGCAGCACTGATTGCCCTGCTGGCCCTGTTCGTACTGGGTTCCTGTTTTGATGCGTACTAACGTCATTCAACACAGTATCGTCTTTTGATACCTGCTGGTTCGTCGGTCTGGTCCCATTCAACTCATCATCGAGTGGACTCTCATTTTCCAAGTAAAACTCGTGGTTGATAATCTGCCCAATCTGCCCGTTAGAAATAGATATTCTCCTCCTCCTGGGGATACCCTCATTTGTGGTATATGGAAGCATCATGGTTGTGTCAAAAATTGGCGGATTCGTTATCGGATATGAGTTAATATCGAATGGGTCATGGAACTCAAATACATGGCTTCTACTTGGTACCCCCACGGCATCGCCACCATTATTAACATCTGTCATCGATATGTTCCCGTTACCTATAGTTTCAGCTTCCATCGAGTTTGACTCTTCTGCTTGGTTTGGTATCCTGGTTTCTATATTAGGCTGGGAGTTCCGAGTTTGCATCACATTTCCATTTGCCCCATCCGTCACTATAGGATAGGCCAAATTTGAAATATTTTGCACTACGAACTGGTTCCCGTTCAGAGGTACCTGAGAGTACCCTTCATTCTTTGTGTAATTCATAATTATTGTACTAATAACTCACTATCAATATTTTCCATTTATTACAAAAGGCCTTTAGATTACATTTTCTGTGTACTGCATATGACTTCACTAAAGTGAATATGACTACTATTTGTGAACCACAGTATGTGATTCTAAGACAACTAGAATTACGAGTCTATGGACGATATAAAGAATAAATACAAGCATTTTCCTCAATATAATGAGTTAAGGGACTTACTTAAACATGCTAATGTGAAATCGGGACGATTGCTCAAAACATTGGACAGCTATGAATATCAGAGTGATGACGTTCGGTTTGATTTTATCGTCGAAAACCAACGGGGAACCAAATTTTTTGGAATTCCGTTATTTTCAAATCGGACATTATTACCGTTTATAGATCCTCAAACTTACCAGCTGTTGGATGGGAAGACGATATCGCTCACGTACAATAACATCAATAATTACCCATTGCCCGATATGGATTGGAAATGGTCGTGGGATAAGTGGTACTTGTTGATGGCGAACGATGTGGATGCCCAGGGATGGTTATATTCGGTGATTATGTTTAATAGCACCCATTGGAAGGGGAAGTACCGGTTTGGGAATTTTGTGCGGCGACGGATATGGGTGAGGATGCGACATAAGCTGGGTACGTAGAGATCCTAATAAGCATGGATTGAGACGATCAGTATCGGTAAGATGGCAGGTTTAGAGCAATTGAGCCGGAGGACTCACTAGAGAATGGCAGATGGTATATAAAATGCCAATTTTGCCTGGGAAACGGACGGTATTCAAGGCCACAAATATAGAATTAAAGAAGAAGGAATTAAAGAATAAGGAATTAAAGAATAAGGAATTAAAGAATTAAAGCCTATGATAGCTGGAACGAATAGAAGAGATTGTATATTGAGTCTTTCGCCTATTCTTTATTCGTAACGGTATATGATAATGAAGAGTCTAACGGTGATTGGTACTTACACGTCGCGCTCTATTTGAAGAAATGGGTGTGAAATAGACGCCAAATAAACCTTCATTCATTATTACCAAAATGGCTAATATTGACTTGCCATTGGCTATATCGTTAATTCGGTATAAGAGAAGGATGGGCTATGTCCAATCTGTCGATTGTATGTTGTTTTGATGGGATTTTTCTACGGATAATTGCTAACCGCCAGATATTATACGTAATATCATCCTAAAGAAGAAAAGACAGGAGCTTAAACCAAATGGAAAGGAGCTTAGATTTGTATTAGATTTACTTAATATTGACTACTCGATTAATACAAATAAAGCATTTATAGATTCGATAAATGTTGATGATCTTGTAGCGAGAGAATACACTTCCAGAGAAATACGAGAATTGATTTTGGCTTTTAAATATTTGATTAAATGGGACAGTCTGGTTAAGAACTTATATTTGGCTAAATTGATTAGTCAAATTCTTCAGAATATACCAGAGTCGTTACTCCGCAAGTTGAGGTCTTGTCGCAGTCGGAGTGCTCTTAGCTGGAGTTATATATTTATTGAATTGGATGAATGTTTGTTAGTAATAGTTGCATATGAAGCCAGAGAGAGTAGAAGTTTACAATACAAATATGAGCTTGTTGTTGATGTGTATAAAGCATTATTTCAAAAAATGCAAGCAATGGGGATTTCTCTCGACAAGTTTGTCAACGAATTCGTATTGAATATCGGCAAGTTAGTTATCCTAACAAAAACCGATTTTAATCTTGATAATTGCAAGCCAAATTACACTAGGACTATAAATGATATAGTGGATGAAACGTTTACTATGAAATATCTAAAGTGGAATCGACTAAGCGTTGATTATAAGAAGTTTAGATATTTAATGACTATCATTGATCGTAGATTAGTAAAATATCTAATCTTAGCATACTTACAATTAGTGAAAGAACTTTCCATTTGTAGTCCCAATCGAAAATATTTGCTTACCTTCTTGTTAATATTTAATGATGTTGAGTTAATACAATTTTATCAGTCTATAAGCTGGGTTATCTAACGGGTTTTATCGCCTTCTTTGAGAAAATATACGTGCAACCACTTAAAAATGTTGTTGTAGCTACTAGTAATTCAAATCCATATAATCCTGAATGGAATGATTCAATCCAATTTTCTGCCATTATTGATTCGATTGCAGGTTGCAATACCAAGCTCCCAATATAAACCATTTGTAACCCTGTATTCACCTTAGATAATAAGTTCGGATGAACAGAAACTGTAGGAATCGAAATATTAATAAGTCTCTTAAACGTCTTCGGTGGTGGTAAAGTTACATATCTATAATAGATTGCCATAAAACTCAACAATGCATCTCTTCCAATGATTAAGCATGCAAGGTACAATGGCATGGACGAAATATAACTTAATGATACAGTACATATGGTCATTAATAGTTTATCAGCCATTGGATCTAATATTGATCCAATAATTGATTTCATGTTATATTTTCTGGCAATATATCCATCAATAAAATCAGTTACGCATGAATATACGAAAATCGACATCGCTAACCCAGCTTGTTGATTTATTAGAAAGTACCCTACAGCAGGAGCAGTAATGATTCTAGTTGCAGTTAAAATATTGGGTATCGTATAAATATTTTCACGCAATAATGGTTGAAGTGGACTTATGGGGTCTAATGGTGGTAATGGCTTTGATGATGGTAATGGCTTTGATGATGGTAATGGCTTTGATGATGGTTTTGATGATGGTTTTGGCGACTTCTCTAAATCACTTAACTTTGTCTTTTTAGTCTCATATAGTATACGGGAAGATGTATGGAATTGAATTTTGCTACTGTTAAATGAATTTGTTATGTGTCTTGGGGGAAGTGAAAACCCAGATCTTATGCAATTCGTTGATCTAGCATACACTATAGATCTAATGATTCCTCGGTAATTGTACAATCGCAAACTCATATGAAAAATATTTTTTATTCTTGACTATCTTAATATTCAAAACAAGTCCTAGATGGAAGGAATCTAGTATCTTGTCTCTCAAAAAATCAACCTTAAGATGTAAGAGTAGTACCAATATTTCCTGGAGTTGATTAAAAAATAGTTTACTGTTTACATACTCATTTTACAGGTTATACTTTATTAATATTAATATCAGATATGTTCTAATTAGCTACTGCTTTTGGTAAGCCTTTATCATTGATTAAGCTTTCTGAAGAATCTTGTGGACCTTGGCCAACTTCAGTTAAAATAACTTTAGAAACACCTTTATATAATTCAGGATCCGCTTGGATATCTGAAGTGGTATCCAAAATTTTAGTATCAAGCTTTTCCCAACCACTAACTTTACTGAAATACATGTAAATTAGACCTAAAACTTTCAGTTCATTTTCTTGTTCGTAATAGATGACAGCGTTTGGACCAGCATCGAATGTGTAAGCAGCGATAATCTTTCCTTCTCTTTTGTTTAATTCGTGGATTAATTTAATGATCTTCTTAGAAGTATCATTCAAGTAAAAAATTGGAGGAGTTGAGTCTAAACAGACGGCATGGAATGAATTCGAATCTTTCATTGTTAAATCACCAAAAGTAGCAAAATCTTTACGTAAAATAGAATCTTTCATTTCCTCAAATCTTTTTGGAACGACTTCTTTAATTCTCCATTGAAATAAATCAGATGTAGCAACTGTGGTTTGCATACCCGAAGTAGAAGGAGTATCCTTCTTATCGTCACTGACTACTAAAATTGCAGCCTTCATGTTTGGCCAGTGGCTCAATGGAGCAACTTCAACTGCCTTCGAATCTTCACCGTTGGCTTCTTGACCCATTTCCCATGCTACATAACCGCCAAAAAGTGAACGACATGCTGATCCTGATCCTTTTCTTGCAATTTTAGAGATCTCTGACATATTTTGTGGTAATTGGTATAATTTTGCAATAGATACAACCAACGCAGCAAATCCTGCTGCAGAAGAAGCTAATCCTGCTGCAGTAGGGAAATTGTTCTCTGAAACGATATGTAAGCCAAATTGACTCAATTTAGGTATAGATGAATCTTTGGATTCCAATTCTTGTCTCAAAGTTCTTAAGTCGGCTAAACAAGCTTTAGTTCTTTCTGACTCTAAGGATTCCAATTTTCCGTTTAACCATAACTTATCTTCCTTGAAATCTTCAGAAGCTGCAACTGACGTCAATGTTCTTAAGTCATTTTGTGATAAGGTAACAGAAATTGACGAGTTAGTTGGTAAGTTCAAGGACTTATCCCTTTTTCCCCAGTACTTTAATGTCTACGTTGAGTTAGTATTGAAGCTCTAAGCCTTAAATTTCACGATTTGAGTATTTTATACATACCGCGATATTTACTGGTGCCGTTGCTGATGAAGTATAGACGGTCATTGTGGTATAGTTCAAGTTAGATCGTATATTAGACTGTTAATCTTTATTGAAATAAATTTCTGGACGTGTATTATTTTTTTTCTTTGTGTAATTACATTTTCCATTCCCAGTTTTCCATATATTAAACTTATATTATTACAATTTACATACTTTAAAGAATACACTCCTACAAAAGCCAACGTCCTCCCTGTGGATATTGGGAATACAAGATAAAGATACTTAGTAAATAAAAAAAAGCGTGTGCCCAATAACAACAGGACAAATTTTTTAACAAAAATAAACCAGATCTTAATAAATAATTGATCATTTTTCGTTACATAAATACAACATTTTCTTTTAAAGTACATCAGTGTAATAAGTCGATTATTTTCTAGTCCACTTCCATAATCTTGCTTTACAATCACCACTTCCGGTAGCAAAGATACCCTCTGTGCCTTGCGAATTCAAAGAGACAGCCACCGAAATAACAGAATTACGGTGACCTTGCAACATTAATAATGGGTTACCTGAAAGTTGGTCCCAAAATATAACACCACGGTCCTTAGACCCGGACAAAATATATTCATTCTTAGGAGTTGAGCAAACAGATAAGACGAAATCCTTGTGACCAATGTAGGTGACCTCACAAGAAGACTTCTTTCCAGTGCTTGCATTATTAGAAACGTTTGATTGTGGATCTTGTTTTCCTTCTAAGTTCCATAACTTAACAGTTCTGTCCAAAGAACCAGAGGCAATCTGTTTACCGTTAGTCGAGAATGCAACCGAATAAACTGAATCTTCGTGGCCATTACCATTTTCATTACCAGAATCTAATCTTTCTACCAAGAAGCCAGTGGTTGAATCCCAGACTCTAACTGTTCTATCTAAGGAACCGGCAGTGATCAATTGACCATCTGGGGAGACCGCGACTGTTGTCACGCCATCCTCGATAGATAAAGTCAACGAACATTGCGAGGATCTTAAATCCCAGATTCTAACAGTTCTGTCACCAGAACCAGAAACAAGTCTGTTTCCATCAGGAAAGAAATCTAAAGAGTAAATATCTTGTTCATGACCACGTAAAATCTTGATTATTCTTTTCGTTTCCAAGTCCCAAATTCTAATCAACTTATCTTCGGCACCAGTGGCTAACAATTTACCATCAGGAGAGAAACAGACGGATCTAATGTATAAATCACCATTTGCATTCGCAGATGAAGACTGGACGTTAGATTCGCCTGACTGGTTTTCGTTGTTGCTATCATCATTAATACCATTGGAAGAGTTATCATCAATCAATTTGGCAATTAATTCACCGGTTTTAACGTTGAAAACTTGGGTAGTCTTATTACATCCTGTGGCAATGAATTCACCGTTCTTGGAGAAACGAACACAACAAACAACAGAAGAGTGATCTAAAGAATGAATCAAATCAACATCCAAATCACGGTTGAAAGCAGGGTTATACAAAACATAGTAATCAGGCTTTTGTTTCTTGAAGTCTGGATTAGCCTTGGAGACATCTAAATCCGCCAAGAAAGATGGAATCTCCTTGACGTGAGAAGCCTTCTGGGTTGGATTTACTATGTATTGACTCTTGTCAATAATAGTCAACGCAGTAGAAGTTTCAGGAGTAGATGGTTCTGCTGGTGGTTGTGTGGAAGCAGTTTCGTCTTTGGTAGGCTCAATCTTAGCAGCCTTCGGCGATTCCGGCTTGGCCTCTTGTTTGGTAGGAGATGGCTTAATAGGAGGAGGTAAAGTTTGGGGTTGTGACACCTGCGGAACCGGAGCCTGTTGTGGAGGCTGCTGTTGTTGTGGTGGTGGATAGTTGCCGAATGGGGGTTGTCTATTTTCAATCCCGTTGAGTTTGTTTTGGTGCTGTTGGGCCTGTCTATCTCTATTCTCTAACTCGGTCTTCAATCTCAAGATTTCTTCCTCGTACGCCTCCTTAATCTTCCTGTGGGCCATCTCTAACTCGTACACAGTCTGTCTGATCTGCTGCATTTCCGCAGTCTGCTGGTTGTACTTCAAGTCGTAGTCCTCCTTCACCTGTTTGAAATTCGACGCCTCGTTCAACGCAAAGTCAAACTCCTGTTTCACGGCCTCCAATAACTCGCTCAATCGTTGCTGGTGCTGCTGTCTCTGTTGGTGTTGTTGCTGCTGTTGTTGAGCAGCAACCGCGGCCGAATTTGGTGTATATACCGACATTCTATCGCTATTTTGTCCTCGATGCTCTTCAATGATACCTATCGTACTAGAATCGCTGGTATAAACTCAATCGTCTTCGTATTAATCAATTTGGAATTAATTTATTTTTTCCTGTTCTTCACTTCTCTGGCGCTAGAACTGGTCAATAACAATTAATCAATCTGCAAATTAGCTCAATTTTCGTAATTCCTGGGTAATGTGGACTGTTCTCAATTACCTGTAACTTTTACGCCCTGTCTATTTCACTCGTCACGTTGTATAGAAGGATGTACTGATAAACAAAGGGTACCTAAACATATATTTTTAATAGACACTTTTTTCTTTCAATAAACAAGGGGTGCATCCGCTAACTGGCGAAAAGGCGTCGAAGCAAATTTCTAGGGGGTGTAATTCACGTGATGTATTTTTCAAATTGCCGGACGTAATTATATGCTAGTATAGTACAATAGGAGAATGCCCCAAGCGATCAAGTTGTGGGATAATTGCGTGTATACGTTCAGAAGTGGATATCAGGAACAAGCCAATTAGTACAGCAGTAATAATAGCACACAGCACGATGGCATATCTAGGAAACAAGCCATTTCGAGGCAAGAAGGAACAAGAGGCATACGACCGGACGTTTGCCGGGAGATACCAGAAGTTGTTGCGTAAGAATCACTTTTTATACTTTGGGTTGCCGTTCATTCTTTCCATCGTAGCGGGGTCGTTGTACTTGCAAAAGTTCACAGCAGTGAAGTGGGAAAAGTACGACGAGAGATATAGACAGGTGGGTGAAGAGGAGATGTTGTCGATGATCGAGAACAAGAGGCCAGTGGACAAGAAAAATGATTACTATAGGTTACAAGGGCTCCTACATGACCACGAGAACGAGGTGAGCTCGAATGAGGATTATGAGATAGTGAGAGTGAAGAGAAAGAAGGAGGATGAGCCGGTATGGTGAGAGATGAGAGATGAGAGATGAGAGACGAGAGCTGAGAGCTGAGAGGTTGAGGTAGGTCTTTCTGCGTTGCTGGTGATGCAGGCGGGCCGTGGTTACAAGACGTATTATAGGCGGGTCGAACGCCTATCTGGTATGTCTGGGACGATCTCATACGTTTATGACTGGGTCTGTAGATAGATCGGTGTGTATAGGTATAGTGATAAATTCATGTAAATAAATATTCGGATCATCGCGCAGATGAAAAAAAATGGTGTAAAAGCGATATAGCTGTGAAAAAGATAGTATAGACGATTAAACGCAAAGTAACATAGGATGGTTTCATTTAGTTGTGAGGTGTGTAACGATACCGTGTTAAAGAAGAAATTGGATCAACATTCACAGAGATGTGGGGGTGCGTACTACACCTGTATCGATTGTTCAGTTACTTTTAACGGTACCGAATACCGTCAGCATACCAGCTGCATCAGTGAAGCCGAAAAATACGAAAAAGGGTTGTATAAAGGCAAGAAGAAGCAGCAGATCCAAAACAAGCCTCAGGAAGTAGTTAAGGTGGAAACTAAGCCTGAACCTAAGAAGGAAAAAAAAGACTCCAAGAAAGACTCCAAGAAAGACTCCAAGAAAAAGAAGAAGGAATCTACCGATTTATCATCCTATTTAAATTCAAACAAACAAGAAAGCTTGTATAAGATCGTCAAGAAGATTTCATCCGAAAAGAAGAAGGATAAGAAGGACATCTTGAAAAATTTACAGTTGACCAAGCTTGAAGATGGCTCAATTAATATTAGCTTTTAATTACTGTACAATAGTCATAGTCTATAAGATATTTAATACATAAACCTGGCGCACATGTTAACTTTTGGCCCCCTTGTTCAAGGCACGGTTCATTTTGGTGTAGAACTGGGAAAGCGTATTGTAGGGAAATGTTAAGTTGTCGCAGAAGTAATCTGGCAATAAGTCCAATAGCATTTTTGCATTGCGTTTCGGGTCCATGATTTCGTCATCCACATCTATGTCATCGGCTTCGCTATCGTTATCCTCCAATTCGTTCAAAAATGTAGGTACGTAGTTGATTTCTGCGGTCGATGTAAATTCTTTGGAAATAATTAATCTGTAATCGATGGTCAACTCAGTTCCACTCCCATTCGTTGACGTTTGCTTGAGATCAAAATGGAACTTTGCATCATCTTCCTCATAGTTAATTATTCTTAATCCAGTCAATAACTCCAACATGTCTAACGTTATGCCTATTGTCTCTAATTCCTTCGATAATTGATCTTGGTTTATCACTTCTTGTTCTTGCTTAGATGTTTTCTTCCTTCTGATAGGCGACACGTACTTGTTTTGTGGCTCGCTTCTAGCCTTCTTCATCGGAGTTTGTAGCAGACCGTTATCTGGTGTTTCTTCTAGCAACTTGTCAATTATCTTTTGTTTATTATACAATTCTTGTTGCATGTCATAGATCAACTGATTCTTTTGTTGTAATTGAAGTTCTGATTTCTTCTTATAGTTCGTGAATATTTCATCTTGCTTTGTGTTGGTTAAAGTATGAATTATTTTCATTAAATCATTATTATTCTGTGCTGACAATATGTCCTGTTCGGTTATATTGGTTGATTTATTAGTGGATAACATAGTGCTAGCATTTGGCACCGGCGTTGATGTCAAACTATCGCTCAATATACCATTGTTCTCATTCTTCTTATCTGCTCCACCGGATGTCTTACGTGTTCTACCCATTACTTTCAGTCGTTGGTGTATTCAAAACATAAAAATTATGTTTACATGAATTTTGTGATTCTTAAAATCGCGTTAGCATTAATACTGTTGAACAGTGATGATCTAGAGCATTAGTATGATTATAGAGAAGCTTTCCATATATATGTAACATCTAGTATGTGTCGTCATTCTGAGTCTGTCTTCCTATGCAACATTCTACAATTGGTAAAAATATCCAGGTAACTTCATATACTATGATCGCTCCCGAAAATCTACCATAATGACTGGAACATGTACTTCATCATAGCAATATTAGTGCTACTACAGTCAATTGTTCCTTTACGATTCTATTAGAACTCCCAATACACACTCTTATGTAGTAATGTTCGAAGTTCAGCAAAAACTTAAGAGTCATTGATTTGCGTGTTTATAAACCTTTCTAAATCTTTCGAGGAACCTTAGACATGCAATGAAGTGGATAACTAAAGCGTATCATTATCCAATACTTTACATGTATGCTTATATTGCTCAACGGCTTTTACTTTAGGAGTAATCCTATTACGATTTGTATAATAGATCCATCCCATTGCCTCACCACATAACATGGTTTGTGTACAATTGATATAGTAGTAGCTTCATTATGTATGTATCTAGCACATTGAATTTTACATCATCGAGGGAAGGAGATATAAACCAGGAAGACTCCCCCGCAAGATGATGATTCCAATCGATGGATTTCATAATGTGCGCTCACTTAGAAAAAAATCATCATCAACTTAACTTATCTCTATCATCAAGGAAATCAATCAATAAGACGTTAGTAAGTGAAGATCACATATCGTATCATGTCGTTCTCTCCTGATATACTTAATAAAAAGTTAAGTTCGTTGCAAGAAACACAAGATTCAATTGTAACAATTTCACAATGGGTATTATTCCATCACAGACACAGTAAAGAAACGGCAGAGTTATGGGCTGCATTTATCCTTAATTTACCAGCTAGCGGTTCATCGAAAAAATTATCTTTATTGTATCTCTGTAATGATGTTGTTCAACAGGCTAGACATAAACGGAAGATGGATTTCATTACGGAATTTTCAAAAGTTTTGCCTAGGGTATTCAATAATGTTTATAAGACATTGGATCCAGCAATCAAGCCAAAAGTAGATAGGTTGGTGAATGTCTGGTCTGAAAGACTGGTATTTCCTCCGAATGATATCAAAGAAATGAGGAAAGCTATTGAATTATCAAAGACTAATAAGTCGATGGAAAATGATGACAATGCCGGCACCTCTAGTTCATCAGGTTTTGAAGGACAAAATGTTGCCATTGCATCTGACCTTAAATTGTTGAATAATGTATTTTTACATATGAACCAACTAATTGATATAAGTCAAGGGAATTTGAATCAAGTTGGGATTCAATCAAAGACGTATTTACCTACAGACCCATCAGTATCCGATAACTTGCCTTCTCCTAAAATATATATTTCAAAATTAAACGTTTTGGAAAAACTATGCTTGATGTCCAATAATAATATTGAAGAGATTAAGAAGGATAGGTTGGAAATATTAAAACAATTGGATAATTTGAAGAGTATTGTATCTGATGGCTTACAAACCGATGATAGTAAAGTGAATATAATAAATAAAAGATTGGAAAAGCTCAAGTCTACTAGAAGCGAGCTACACAGTATAGTGGATGAAGATAAATCAGTATCACAAGCGCAGGATACTACTGAGGAACCATCACCTGAGTTTGACCAAGGTGACGACGACGATGATGATGATATGATTCCAACTTATGAAAATGAAGATAGTGATGTAGATGATGATCGTCCTCCAGCAAAAAAAGCCAAACACTCACCTGAATCTTCAGGTAATTCGACTCCTTCTTCCGCTAAAAAATCAGTTGCATTTTCGGAAGATATAGAAGTCAAAGAATACGACAGAGAAGACCAAACTGAAAATATTAAGATTATTAAAAGTGATGATGACGAAAATGGTGATGCGTCGGATAACATATATGATGATGACGATGATGACGACAAAAGTTCAGTATCTATTGACTTTGAAAGACATCATAAAGATGATTTGGAACTAAAGCACGAACATGATAATAACAGTACTGATGACGATGGCTACGATCCTTCTTCGCAAGGTGAGGATACTTCAGAATCTAATAGTTCATCAATGAATAATAGTGTATTAAATTTATTAGCTAAGTTAGCATAACATTTGTCTCGAATAATGAATGCACAATTAATAATGTATGTTCATGTAGATATATTTCCATCATTTAAAATCATCCAAGCTGTGTACTTTCTTCCATCTATCTTCTCAAAAAGAATCCATTAAAGTTTATAAATGATTTATAGAGCCTCGGTTTTATGTTCACAAATGTATGGAATTGTCTAATTTGATTAAGATTTGTAGACTTCTTTCGAAGTAATCCAAGTGAAGTAAACTCATTATATAATTGTTTTCCTTCATTTATTTTTAATTTATCTGGCACTTTTCTATGTAAATCTTGTGCTAAACTTTCCAACAAGGTATATTTAGCATTAATTACCGAGTTCATATTAGGCAATTCAGATGTTAAGCTATTAGAAGCATTGGGCAGAAGTTTATCAAAGCGCTTGTTTGTTCCAATATATAACAAATTCCTTGCCCTTGTACATGCAACATAGAATAACCTTGCCTTACTTTGTGCATGAGGTTCTAATTGATCAAGTAGAAGTGAATCCCAAAATGACAGCGATTTTGCATTCTGCGGTGCTCCAGCGATAAAAACTACTGGAAATTCTAATCCTTTTGCAGTATGTACAGTAGAAAGGTTGACCATTTCTCTATCCATAGTTGGAATATCGTCATTATAATTCCGTAAAAAGTACTCTACAAACAGTTTTTCTGACTTAGTATGTGAATTCTCTTCCATATAGCATTCATATGAATATTTCAAAGACTTATTAAAGGATTGTAAATAGGTTTTCAATAATCTTTTATAGTCTTTCTCGATATCAATACTGTCTGACTGTTTAGCACTACGTGATTTCGATAATTCTGGCAAATTGAGATATTCTAGCAATTCCAGGTCACTAAGTACCCGTAGTAATAAGCTTAAAATTTTGGTTGGATTCTGTGATTCTTGATTATTTTGAATTAGATCCCTTCTTACGGATCGAATAGAATCCATAAATCTCTCTAAACGTAATATCTCGTTATTATATTTGGGGATTTTGTAAATATCCGTTATATCATGTAACGTTTTCCCATTCTTATTAACAGTGACTTGATTTTTTTCAACCTTTATATCAAGAAATTTCAATTCATGTATTATATACTCTTCTAATGCATTTTCTCTCATCCCTAATCCCCCATTTACTTTCCATTTATTGCTTGAGTTGAATAACTTTGATATTCTAGAAGAACTTCCGAATTTTCGGTCCAAAATCGATATGACACATAATAAACCAAAATCTGAGCTAGGACCCTTGCTTATCACATTTAAAATATCTAATAAAATATGTACTTTAGATTTAATCCACGAAGCGGACAGTGAAAATCTATTACACTTAATATTATAAGTTTCAGTTAAAAACTTTGATATTTCGTCTATCTCCTTATTGGACCTTGTAAGAATTGCAAAATCAGAAGGTTTTAATAACCCACCCAGCTCACAAATTAGTCTGGTAATCTCACTCGCTATAAATGCATATTCGTCCTTATTTGAGATGTGCATGCTAATTACAGGTTTGTGGCCATGATCACGAATTGACCTAAGTTCTTGAGCGGGATCAAATAGACTAGTTGGTTTTAAACAAATCTCGGTTACTGCATTCAAGATTTCAGGAGTAACACGAAATGACTCGTTTATAGAAAGCTGCGTAACTTCACCGCCTGGAATTTCATGTTGAATTTTGTGAATTAGCTCTGGCTTTGAGCCTAGAAACTCATAAATACTCTGATTAGGATCGCCTGCGATCGTTAAATGTTTCATATCTCCCTCACCGAAGCCAGAAGTAGGATATTCAATGACCGCTTTCACTACCAGTAATAATTGCGGGTGAATATCCTGGAATTCATCAACTATTATAGCTTTGTAATTTTTAAGTTGGGCTATCAAGTTCTTATTTCCAACAGCTTGCGGCTGTAATGATAAATCCATTAGTTCCAAAGCATTTACAAGCAAATCGTGGTATCTTATCATACCGTTGCTTTCCAAGTACATAATTAATGCCTCAATATATTCCTTACTAATCTTGTACTTGTAAGCTGCTTGGGGTATGGTTAAATTTCCACTTTTCACTGCAATAAGTAATTTTTCTAACGACAGAGGAGTCAAGTTACCTTCCACAGTTCTACCGCTTAAACTTATAGATTTTCCCAGAAATATATTAGAAAAACTACGCCAACTTAAATCATCCATTAATTGCTTTTTTCTAAACGACGAAGAATACTGATCCCCATACTGATCGACTAACCCCCCACAAAATGAATGAAAGGTATTGATACTAATACCGCTCGTTAGTTCTTCCCCCAATGTATTAATTAGATATTTTTTCAACGAATTGACTGATCTGTTAGCCATAGATAGCACCAAAATTTCCTCTGGCTTCAACTTCCCAATACTTATCAAATATGCAATTCTTTTCACAATGGTACTAGTTTTTCCACTTCCTGGACCAGCCTTGACAACTAGCATCTTATTCATTTCTGGAGGAAACTCTATAACCTTAGCTTGAGATTCTGTAGCGAAAATAGGTAGGTTTTCAAGTGGTACATCTGACAATGATTTGCCTCTATCTATGTTTTCTCCATCTTCGTTAATATTTGCAATCAATTCATCTTCTTCATTCGAAATTAAAGTAATATCTTCTTTCTTTTCGCCAAAGGAGAAGCAATTCATTCTTTTACGACGGGTGAATCAACATAAAGTTACAATTGGTATTTTAATGAAGGTTAGAAAATGTACAAACATTGCGCGAAATTAAATCCTACTGTTCATACTTTCCATAGGTTTATAATTACATTAAAAGTCCATATAACCTAAAGTAATCTACTTTGTTATGAGTGCTTTGGAAACTCTCAAGCAAATTTTAGAAAGAGATAAAGATGGTGAGGTTCTATTAGCTGATGATGAAAATGTACAAAGCCTTGACAATCTTCAAAACTATATCGTACATAGGAAGAAAGAATCGAATAATTTAAGTCAATTATTAGAACTGGTCAGAATTGAGTCATCCAATGAAGAAGCAAATACCACATCACAGATTAGTTTACTTTCTGAGTCTGATTTGCATAAACTTTTAGCACGATTTCAAGATTATCAAGCGAATATAAAGACTCAGAGGGAAAAACTAATGCCAATAGAAACCATTATAACTGACTTCAATACAGAATTAGAGCAATTATCATCGAGTTTAGCATCATTGCAGCAACAATCCAGCAGGTTATCTTCTGATTTGGACTTACAGCGTGCGTCATCGGAAAAGTTAAACCCAATTATATTGGATCTTATGATTCCTCCTGATATAGTACAATCTATAGTAAAGGAGCCAATCGATGTAGAATGGCTTGAAAACATAAGGTTCATTAATGAAAAGATCCTTTTAATTTCCAGTGTTAAGTCTAACAAAGCGGACAAAAAATTAACTGACTTATACAAGGATTCTCTTGCATTTTCACAACTTGAATCAGGTGTTAAACTTCTAGTAGCCAAATCCGTTGAAAGGATACGAGATTTCATTATCCATAATATCAAAATGCTCCGATCCTCCCAAAAGACGTCATCGCAGAGTATTCAACAAAACCTTCTTAAAGTTAAGGAATTATTTGCGTTTATAAAATTACATCATTCTGAGTTGGCAGATCAATTACAATTAGCATATATATATACTATGAAATGGTATTATCAAACTCGTTTTGCAAAATATTTATATGCTATAGAAAAGCTTCATGTTCGTCATGTTGATCTGAATTTAGTACTAGGAAGTGGGCATAACGCTAACGATGACAAAAGTTTATTTGGCGGTGGTTTGAAAAACTGGTTATACAGTGGTGTAAATAATTCTTTGGCTCCTCCACAAACTAATGCATCACATCAACTGCTGCAATCACAAGCACAACAGCTGCTGCAATCACAGCTAAGTAAGCTTTCAATATCTGATTACTTTCTGTCAATTGATAAGAGGTTGCAAATACTTGAAGCTAGGGGTGATGCACCAGAGCCACAATTAGCTATTCCATCACAAATTGCAGAGACGACACCGTTTAATTACTGGTTAGAATTTATTTATAATCAATGGTCTATCGCTCTTATTGATAATATTGTGGTAGAGTATTTGTTTATGGTTGAATTCTTTTATCAGGGTGATGAAAAGTTTTGTAATGTGGACACTCTAAAACGAAAACCTAAAGAAAATGATAATAGTTCTTCTGGAAACTCACAAAAGAATGATTGGTCCCATGTTATGTTTGGAAATGTATATAAAATGGGTTACGATTTTGTCAGCTGGTTGATCAGTCATCAGCCATCTCCATATTTAGCAGGAAGAAATAATGCGTCCATTACAACAACTTCTAACCCTCAGAGAATGAACACTGGTTCAAAGACTTCGCTACAAGGAACCTGTGATGGATACGCAGTATTATTGATGATACGATTAGTCCAAAAGGCTCAATCTCTACTCCACAATGAATTTCATATTCCAGTGCTTGACGATCATTTGAATTCTGTATTGCTAATATTATGGCCACATTTTACGAAAATAGTTGACCTTAACTGTGAGTCCATGAAAAAGTTAATAATGTATTCTGGATCGTCGAAATCCAAAGAAGTTCATTTAGCACCGGTAAGCGTTACGCAACAATTTTCTCAATTTTTACTGGGTTTGTTGAAATTAGCAGCAGTAACATCTACTGATAAGAAAGATGATAATGATAATATCTTCAGAGGGGAACCTTTGTTCACTTCTATAACTAGATTGAGAAATGATTTCGAGAACGTACTTACCAAATTAAGTAGCCATTTATTTGGCTCGGGAAGAAGCAAGTCCACTGAAAAGGAAATTTTTTTATATAATAATTACTTCTTGGTGGTGAATATCTTGAGAAATGAAAATCTAGGAGATGGTGTTTCTAACGCTTTTATTGACGAACAAGTTAAACATTTCGAGATGTTATGTGACGCTTACAAAAAAAGCTAATTCAATATTTTATTTGCATTATATATAGTTATAAATCACAGAGCTTAGCGAATAACCCACAAAGTTGTAAGTACGATGATACCCCTTCTAAAACTCTCATGTGAACGAAACCTATTTCCTTGATCATATCTAAACGCTTCAGTTCGCTTATTCCTGGTAATGTTTTGGCTACCCTGAACGACAGAGTAACAATATCTATAGCAGAATAACCCTTTTCCCATAAATTATCCAATAATTCAATAGCTTCGTCAATATTGCCCCCCTTATTCGAACAACAACTGGCTAGGATTTTTTTGATAACTAATGGATGAGGTTGGTCGACAATTTTAAATACATTAACATCATTTACAAACCCGAAACCTGCAACTGTACTTTGTAAATTGTTGATGGCTTGTCTCATGTCACCTTCTGCAGTGAATATTAACGCTTGTAACCCCTCAGAATTATACTTCACATCCTCCAACTTTGTTATTTCCAACAAACGTTCTAATACTTGTTCATCTGATAACTTAGTATAACGCAATATCGCACAACGGGATTGTAATGGTTCAATAATTTTCAGCGACTGATTACAAGCAAATGCAAATCTAGTGGTATTCGAATAAATTTCCATCGTTCTTCTTAACGCCTGTTGGGCACCGGGTGTCATGGAGTCGGCTTCATCCAAAATGATTATTTTATGTCTACCTGCTGGTAACAGAATCTTGGTCTGTGCAAACTGTTTGATTTTATTACGAACAACATCAATACCTCTATCATCCGATGCATTCAATTCTAGCGTAGCCTGCTGATACAACTCAGGTCCCAATAATTCATATGCAAGACAATGTATGGACGTAGTTTTACCTATACCTGGCAATCCAGAAATAATCATGTGTGGCATATTTCCATCTTCAACTAAAAGCTTCAATCTTTCCACGGTTTCTTCATTCCCTACTATATCATCCAATTTATGGGGACGGTATTTCTCTACCCATGGCAATTCAAGAGATAGAGCAAAATTCTTAGTCATGTTTATATATATATATCTCCTTATCACAACTATTGAAGTATTTGAAAAATCTACATTTATGGACGCGTATTAAGTCAAATATCGATGTTCAGATTTTGTAAGTTCGAGCATTATTTCTATAAATTTTTTTAGTCTATACTTTATTATACATTATTGGATATATATAGTCTTGATTACATTGTCTTGCTCTCATTAATATTGTCTTTTGCTTCGGCAGCATCTTTTCTCTCCTTATTTTTAGCCTTTTGATCATTCTTCCTGGCCATTATTGGCGCAGACGTATTTAAGAACTTTACGGCCGGTTTTCTGAAAACACCCTGTACTTGCTGGTCGGCTTTCTGGTCATTTTCAGACAAAAGATAGCTTAACCATGGAACTTCAACATCTTTGACCTCTGATTCTATTATATTATATAATGCTTGTGCTTGTTCAATATTGTCTGAAAGTCCTAAAATGCTTGTATTCTCAATTCTCAATATGGATGAAAGTCTAGACATACTTCCTCGAGGTAGCTGTATTAGCTTTACCTTATCACTCGCCGATGTAGAAGATGTATATGCAAGTACCGGGAATGGATTTGTCAATAAAGATGGTATGATGTCGTACTTAGCCACGAGTACATACTTAATATATGGGGCAGAATCAGATGTACGTTGCTTTTTATGTGTTTTAGATTTTTTGACCAATCTAGATCTGTGTTTTGATGCCTGAGTTTCTAATGCTTTAATAGTGGAGTTGAATCCAATCGTTATTTCCTTACGAATTTCTGGAATATCAGTGGTTTTAATTTTGGAGCTACTGTTGTTTTTTGCTTCGGCAAGCAACCCATTATAATATCCTAAATTGGATAGAATCTGACTGAGGTGTTCTAGTATGGTATTTGAAAGCTCTGGTGAAATAAAAGGCCATAACTTTGTCTGCGTATATGGGTTATCAAGTATTGGTTTAAAAACTTGTCTACGTCTTTTCTCCGCATCTTTTAGAGATCCTGATATAGCATTAGATGCCTTTGTCTTATTTTTCCTATTGTCTGACATCTATTTGACATCTATATTATTCAAGCTTAGGGTGATTTACAATTTAAGAACAAGATCGATGAGAGTTTTAAAATGTCGCAAATTATATGATAATATTTCTATTCATTTACTTTTTATGTAGAACACTATACAAATACAGATTTAATTAGAGCAATAATATTAAATACAAAATCTTTATAAAAGTTAGTTGCCATCCTTCTTTTCGTCCTTCGATTTACTTTCAGATTCTGGGGAATACAGTGGCGAACCTGGTGAATATTGAGGTGAAGTTGGTGAGTATTGAGGAGACGTTGGTGAATACTGAGGTGAAGTTGGTGAGTATGATGGCGAGGTAGGCGAGTATGATGGTGATGTTGGAGAATATTGGGGTGAGGTAGGTGAATATTGTGGTGATGTTGGTGAATAAGATGGTGATGTTGGCGAGTATGATGGAGATGTTGGTGAGTAACTTGGTGAAGTTGGTGAGTAACTTGGCGAGGTTGGTGAGTAACTTGGGGATGTTGGTGAGTAACTTGGGGATGTTGGTGAGTAAGATGGTGAAGTTGGCGAGTAACTTGGGGATGTTGGTGAGTAAGATGGTGAAGTTGGCGAGTAAGATGGCGACGTTGGTGAGTATGATGGTGATGTAGGTGAATAACTTGGTGATGTTGGTGAGTATGATGGAGATGTTGGTGAGTAACTTGGCGATGTTGGCGAGTAACTTGGGGAGGTTGGTGAATAGCTTGGCGATGTTGGTGAATACGTTGGAGACGTACCACCGTAACCTGGAGAAGTAACTCCACCAAACGATGGCGATGTTGCACCATAAGAAAATGGCGAAGTTGGTGATGGAGAAGTAGCTCCTCCGTAAGATGTAAGAGCACCTGAACCATCAGAAACTGGCGCCGTATGAATTGGTGAGAATCCGGCACCTTCTTCAAACTGAATCTTATCATCTTGCATTTCGTAGTCCCTGTAAGGAGTAGCACCACCATCATCTGCATATGCACCAGTTTCATTACCAGCTGCAGTGGTAACTGCAATATTAGAAGGTGCGGTTTGTAACATCTTATCATCAACCATAACATCAAATGCACCAGTACCTAATGGCGCCATTTGACCTAACATCACATTCTCAGATATACCACGACAATCATCTAACTCAGCAGCGGCACCTGCTTCAAGTAAGATTTCAACAGTTTCTTCGAACGAACAACGCATCAATGCACCAGTATCAGATCTATTAATACCGTGACGAGTAATTGCCATCAAATGACCACGAGACGTCATGACATCAACCAATAAGGCCATATGACGATAATTGACATAAGAACCATCGAACGCAATAACATTAAGAATTTCCTTGAATAAGGCAGTACGAGTAGCTTCAATACCTAAAACAGAAAGAATTTCAATAAAGTTATTAGAATAAGTACGCGAAGAATCAACACCTGAAACAGCCATAACGTCGGCCAAATTTACACCATCGGTTTCCAAAACCCATTCTTGAGTTTGTTTGAATTCACCAGTGATATCTGGAGAGCTTACTTTATGTTGCATCATAAATACTCTTGTAATACCTGGAATACCACGCAATGAAATAGATTCTAACATATGTGATTCAATACGTTTCAAGATTTGATCTTCTTCCGCATCAGCATCTTCATCCAACGACTTTGGATCACGAACAACACGACAACGAATAATCAATTTATCTGCTGTATCATCGGACCAAATAACAAATAAATCTTCTCCGAAGTTTTGAGAGATCTTCTCTGCGACTTGAGACATTGTCAACTGTTTATCCAACATCTTAGCACGATCTAATTCAAGACGAAGTAACCATGGAGATTGTTTCTCAATAGATTCTTCAACCTTTTCATCAGGAATAGCAAAGTAAGCCTCAACGGTATCGTAATCTTCCTCGATAACGGTACTTCTAGGATCTGGGTCGTAGAAAATTTCAGTAGCAGACGTAACATTCTTCAAAGTAGTATGCTCGATCGCGGATTGAACAATCTTTGCCTTTTCAATGTCAGCAGCACTTTCCTTTTCTAAGTAAACAGTAAGTGCCGGAGTTTTAATGTTCTTTGCAACATTAAGAATTTCCTTAAGACGTGGGACACCTAATGTAACGTTCTTCGAAGAAACACCAGCATAATGGAAAGTATTCAAGGTCATTTGAGTCGCTGGCTCACCAATGGATTGAGCTGCAATCACACCGACCATTTCACCAGGATGAACAATCGATTTTTGGAATTGGATTTCAATTTCACCCATAACCCATTCAAAAGAAATTCTACTTAATTTAAATTCTTCGATAACACGACGGGTTGCCAATCTAGAACGTAACAAACATTGGAATAATAATGTTGCATTTTCTTGTGCTTCTTTTGTTAATGCTGTTTTACCACGAATGACTAAAAGTTTAGTACAAAGATCCTGAACACCACGAACAACTTCATCCAATCTTAAGTCCGATGCCTTATGACGACCATTATGGAAAATTTGCTGAGCATTTTGAATAATACGACGCAAGTTAACAGGTAATGGCCAGTTAAAGTCACCATTTGGAAAGCAAACATCTCTCAAGTAACGACGATCGGCTTCTAATTGTCTGTATTCTTCATCTAAAACCTTTTGAAGTTTTACATCACCCTTTATTTCTTTACCAGATTCCAATAAGGATTCTCTTATAGATTTTGATGGATCCAAGACATCAATACGGTATCTCTTTTCGAAACTTTCATTAGATCCAGGAATAGTATCGACTGATTGCTTCTCTACCTGGGTACCATCAATACCATCTTCACCATAGACGAATTGAATGATATCACCTAATGAATTTCTTGTAGAGCCATCATAATGAACCATAATATCTTCTAAAGCTTTAACTAAACGACGTTGAATATAACCTGTTTCGGCGGTCTTAACAGCAGTATCAATAAGACCCTCTCTACCTGCCATGGCATGGAAGAAAAATTCTTGTGGAGTCAACCCTCTTAAGTAAGAATTTTCAACGAAACCTTTAGATTCAGGTGAATAGTCATCTTTTGTGAAATGAGGTAACGAACGATCAGCAAATCCAAAAGGAATACGTTTACCTTCAACGATTTGTTGTCCTACACAAGCCGACATTTGAGAAATATTAATAAACGACCCCTTAGATCCTGAAACCACCATTTGCTTGACGTTATTTAAATCCTTCAAATTCATTTCAGCCGAACGACCTGCTGTATCACGAGCTTGATTCAAAACACGAGATACATTATGTTCAAAAGACTCACGCAATGTCATACCCGGTTCTGGTTCCAATTTATTCAGTTGGGCATCCAAAATAATTTCTTGAACTTTATCCTTAGCATCTTGAATAGTGGTAGTAACATCTCTCATAGTACTAGAATCGGCAATAGTATCACCAATACCAATAGAAAACCCATTGTGTAACAACCAAAAGTTGACGACTTTTTGAATAGAACTGAATAATTGTGCACAAACTTGAGGACCTTTTTCTCTCATTACTGTGTGAATTAAACCACCACCGGTTGCACCGACAGTCTTTTTATCTACAACACCAAACATAATTTCACCATCGACGACTAACATACCATTATCTTTAGGACTTAAGAGATTCTTACCGTCATCAAATCTTTGTAAATGGATACCCTTAGGTATTGCCATAGACAATAATTGCTTACCGGTCCACAATGGCTTGGGGCTAACAATCGCTGGTGGAGGAATGACACCATCCCAATTTGGAATCCAATATAACATATTCATTACTTGATCATATTCAATGAAGTTATCACGTAACGTCATCTTTCTAACACCACATAATGTATCTTGCACAATACCCATGACTGGCTTATTCGATTGAGGAGAAACAATTTGCAAAGGAACAGCACAGATTTGTGACAATTCTGCTCTTGTTTCTTGTGATTGAGGAACATGTAAATTCATTTCATCACCATCGAAATCTGCATTATATGGGGAAGTGACAGACAAGTTTAATCTGAAAGTAGAGTATGGCATGACTTTGACTCTGTGCGCCATCATAGACATTTTATGTAACGAAGGTTGACGGTTAAATAAAACTGGATCATCATCCATCAAATGACGCTCAACTTTCCAACCGTATTGCAAAGCAATATCACCTGCTCTTTTGTTATATCTTAAATCAATACGATCACCAGTATCTCTAATAACGTATTTCGCACCAGGGTGTTCGTTTGGACCATTACGAACGTATTCAGTCAAACGATGGATGTTATAGGGGGTCACTATTTCAGGGTATGATAAGGTTCTTGCAATAGATATTGGGACACCAACTTGGTCTAAGTCAAGATTTGGATCACCAGAAATGACTGTACGTGCCGAGAAATCAACACGCTTACCCATCAAGTTTCCTCTAAGTCTTCCTTCTTTACCCTTTAATCTTGCTCTAATAGATTTAATAGGACGTCCTGTCTTTTGAAGAGCTTGTGGTTGACCAGCAATGTCATTATCCATATAAGTGGCTACGTGGAATTGCAACAAGGCTTCAAATTCACTGATAACGTGCTGTGGCGATCCGTCCATTTCTAATCTTTGAACGTTTATATTTGCCTTTAAAACATCGGCCAATTTGAAAGTCAAATCATCTTCACCTCTGGCTGTGTCATTAAATGCGATGGATGGTCTCACTGGTGGTGGTGGTACAGGCAAGACGGTGATTAACATCCATTCGGGTCTGGCATAATCTTCATTAAAACCCAATCTATAACAATCTTGCGAATTTATATGTTTGAAAACACTCAAAATTTCCGATGGAGTTAATAAACGACGTTCTGGTTGCTCATTTTCATCAAAATTCTTATTCTGCTTCCATGTACCCCATAATTTTAACCCATCTCTACGAACAGTAGGCTGTGTATGACCACATCCACCTTTATTTGGTTGGTCAGGTTTCCAATTTGGATCATTTTCGCTGGTAACATTGTCTGCTTCACAGATCATCTTAGCTTTACACAAGTTCCACACGGCATTAAATCTTTTCTTTGGATCTCTTATTTTGATGGCCTGAGACATGGCAAGGTTTGTTTCATCTAGTAATAACTTACCACAATGCATACAAACACATTCACAAACCTTTTTAATTTTGGCGATAAAACCAATATGAAAAACAGGCTTAGTTAATTCGATATGACCAAAATGACCAGGGCATTCAGCCATATCTTCACCACATGTTTGACATTTAAAATTACGATCGATCGAACCCAATCTTGGGTCATTTAACCCGGCTTCTCTTGGTTTCTTTGTACTTTGGTCAATAGTCTCTGGGTATTCGATTTTAGCAACAGAAATTGCACGAACCTCTTCTGGAGACAACAAACCAAATTGAACTTCCTTCACCGAACGGAGAGGCGCACTGGAATATGGAAATTGTCGACTCATTGTTTTATCACTATGATTATTATGAAATAAACGTTAATAAAACTATTCTTTTTTTTATAGATGTTTTTTTATTTTTTTTCCAAAATTAAACAAGCAGATATATCGACTATTACTGGCACTAAACTTCAATGAAAATTTGTCTCTCGTAATAAATATCTGTAATAAATAAATTAAAAATTAATTTAAGAACTTAATCAAATTAGTAGATTCCTTGTTAAACTTTATTTTACTATAATAGTACCTTTATTATAGTTAACGCAATCAAACAAATGAGTGCTTTTGAATTATCTATGACTTTATACAGATTAATTAGTATATGCAAATTGGAAGTGGTTTTTGTGAATATACCCTAATATCAAACAAACGCTATTTGAATTAATCGGACAAATAACAAGCTGTGTATTCAGGCTTCTATGGATAATATAGAATGGAGGTTGGATAGATAATTAGGTTGGCAAGATGGTAAGTTAATCTATGGAAAACACAACCTTGTTTAGTTTTGCTTATTATTACAACACTAATTTTCATGTTCGACTGGAAGTGGCGACGAAAAATTACCCCGGTCTCATTTTTACACGAGCCTATATTTAATAAAAAAACATGCGCGTAATTAACAGTACTAAGTTAAACGAGCTTTATTACATCTATTTAAGAGAAGAACTTGGACATAGCTTTCTTTTGTTTATCACGACGAGCCTTAATGGTGGTCTTGACGTCTTGTAAACCCTTTATGATAGCACCATCTTCAGGAGATAACTTTAAGGCTTCCTCTAAAGATTTTTGTGCCGATTCTTCGTCCTTTGCAAGTAAATAACCCATACCCTTACGGTATAAGGCCTTTGTTTTGGATTTATCATCAATAGCTTCAACTTCTAAAGCGTTAGATGCGGCATTGATAGTTTTCTTGCCGTCCTTCAATTTTAAGGCAACCAAAGCGGCATTCAAGTAACATGATAACTTTAAGGCGTGCAATTTAGACAAGTTTTCTTCGGACAAGTCTTCAGGGAAATAATCGTTCAAAAAGCCCGAAGCCTTGTTGTACTTCTCATATGCAACAGTGACATTTCCGTCCTTTAATTGTTTGGTACCAATGTCCTTCAAAGTGCTAACCGCCTTGAAAACGGATTCTGGGTCGTTGACATTAATGTTGTCGTCATCTGCTATAACTTCTTCGTAAATGTCACCAGTGCCGTCATCAACACTTGCTGGAACTGGTACATAATCGGATGGCAATTCACCACAGTCAGAGATTATCCAATCTTCGACTGGTTTATCGCTTTCGCCCTTGTCGCATCTTTCAAGCTGACGGACAATTGACTTTCCTTGTACCACTTCACCAAATACCACATGCTTACCGTTCAAATGAGGAGTTGGCACAGTTGTAATGAAAAATTGAGACCCGTTTGTATTTGGGCCCGCATTGGCCATAGATAACAAGAATGGCTTGTCATGAGTCAATTGGAAGTTCTCATCTTCAAATTTCTCTCCGTAGATTGATTCACCCCCGATCCCTGATCCGTGGGTGAAATCACCACCTTGGCACATAAAATCTTTGATAATACGGTGGAAAATAGATCCTTTATAATGGAGTTGTTTCCCTGAGCTCTCTGATACTCCCTTTTCTCCAGTACATAATGCTCTGAAATTTTCAGCCGTCTTTGGAACTACATCGTTATATAATTCAAATACAACACGTCCTTTGGGCTTTCCGTCAGCGGAAATATCAAAAAATACCTTAGGGCGATTCAATTTGTCACTCATTGTCAATTACTTAACCTTTTTTTAAAGTGAAATGGTTGGCAACAAAATTGGGTGTAAATATATACTTATATCAACCACTCTCAATTTCTAGAAAGCTATAGAAATTTACCTGCATATAAATGTACTAAAGGGAACCAGCTCTTGGACCAGCTCTTGCAACATGAACTGACGGATCTAGTGCCTTAAAATGACTATGATATTTATGGATTAAGCATATTAGACGAAAAAGAATACATCTTGAACAATTAAGAACTTGCAACTATTTTTTAGGATTTTTATGTGATTTTAACTATTTTATTTTTGAGAATATTCACCATTAATTGAAAACTTTCGAATTATGCTAGAAATGATATTTTTATATATTCATATAATTAAAAGAATATAACTAAAAAATTAATCATTTATGACAATAAGAATATGAGATTATAGGAAAGCTGTGAAACTAATGTGGACAGTGGGCCATATTATTCAATGAATCGCTGAGATCACTATAATGCTCATAGGGTAAAATTTCAGTGTATATTGGAATAGAAACGGGTTTCTGTGGTACGTTTTCTTCGTTTTCTACAGTTATATTAAGGATATTTTACAAGTCTGCCGATATAATGCCTGGGAATTATTATCATTACCCCAATGGTACGTATGGGATATGTAATTTTTGGCTATTTTATAGGTACATTTTGATTATCGTCATGGGATTTCATATACCATCTCCGTTACCGTTCGGTTATCAATCAAAAGAAAAAACTATGGAAAAGAAGGTCGATTGACCATACAATTAACTTTAAGAAACTAAAATAAATCCCCATGAAGAATTCAATATATATATTCTTTTGCAAAGGATTGAACAGTGAATAAGGTTCTAAATTTCAATTATGGATTTAAAAGGATCACAAATTTATTTGATATTGAAGTTTAATAAACAAAATTACCAAGCCATAAAATAAACAACTATTATGAAATTACCTATTTAAAATCGTGAACATTAAGATGATCGTTTTGGTTAAAGTCATACGCATTACCAAAAGGACGGTTCAAATATCTCTCATCTAGTTCATTGTCTTTGAAATACTTTGCTTGTACGAGAAGATTGTTGTAAGCTTCTATCATAGACTTGGCACTCTCAGAACATTCCAAGGTCATACCATTTCTGAACCAATGAGCAAAATGAATCATTGCGAGCATGATTCTAGGTTTGTCAGTATGATTTGGTTTACCAGCATGCCAAAGTCTCAAATCTCTTATAACAATAGATCCTTTCTTAATGACTGGTTGAACACAAGGTCTTTCTTTGGTTCTTTGATCTAACATGTGTTGCTTGATACGCCCACTTGCTCTTTCTCCATGCTTTCCATCCTGACATTCTATACCATAATTTTGAGTTCCAAGCCATACTTCCGTCGAACCATTTTCAGGCGACATATCGACGAGTGGTACATTAATAACTAATGCGTATGGGCATTCCGGCGCTTCATAATCTGCATCAGAATGGACAGGTTGTGATTGAGGAGGTGAATCTTTGGTTGGTGGGAGAGCAGTATTTCCAGATATAAATGTTAATCTTGGTTGAGGACCAAGAACAGATGACGTAACCTGAGTACCGATCTTATTAAGATATATTGATGGGTCAAAAAAACTATTAATAAGAGGTGGATCTTGTTGAATATTTCCTTTGTTATAGTTATATGGCCCATCATCACCTTTTGCCTGAAGTTTTGCAGCATCTTCTAACATTTTGACATTAAGCTTGTCTAGTTTATTATGTTCGATGACATCTTCTAGAACAACAAGGCCATCGCGGTGTATAGCTCTTGTTGCTAACTCAAGGTTAGGTAAGCACAATTCTCCGAGTGAAACTTCCTTTGGTGTTACCTTCACTGTCGCAGGCATGGAAGAGAGTTGGCGAAGCAAGCGTGGAAAACAAGAAATCAATTTGGTTCTAGATATCATATTATATTAATTAAACTGAAGTATATTAGAGCGATACCTTCTAATAATTTTGAAGAAAGTAGTTACCTTTTATAGTTGGCTGTAGCAACTAAGTTCATAGTTAGTTACGGTATGAGACCCCTAAAACTAATGCAAGTTATTAGATATTGAAGGGAAGAGTTCTAACTCAGGAAATGCTTCTGGAGTGAGTTGAAGTCAAATTAGGGAAGACTACTCATTTAGGGACTTATCGCGCACAAATTATGGAATTCAAGGCATGGCTTCCTGATTTGGAAGGTTGTCCCAAATATAAAACCAAAAATGTACGAAATGGATTATTATAGATAATTCATGTTACAATATATATAAATATAAGAAATTGTACTCAATGCAAATGATATGAAGAGTTACAATTTCCAGAAAATATCTAGTTAAGATTCAATATCGACATGTTTTCTAAATTTAATAGACTTATAACAACTCATCCGGTATTAAGTAATATGATGGTCTCTGGATTCTTATTCGGGAGCGGTGACTATTTGGCACAAACAATTTTCACTAATCCAATTACCTCTGTACCTACCCAAAAGCATGATAAATCAAGAACATTAAAAGCCATGATTTACGGGTCTATAATATTTGCACCAGTCTGTTTGAAGTGGTATGGATTATTGAATAAAATTAAAATCCAAAGTCCTGTGCGGACGAGGCATGCAATGAAGGCAATAAATGTAAATAACTGTTACACTATAATCGCAAAAGTTGCAACTGATCAATTAATTTTTGCTCCCTTGATTGCGGTGCCCTTATATTATTCAATTATGACAGTATTTGAGTTTCATAAAAACCCTGTTGATGCAATAAAACATAATTTGAGAGGTAACTGGTGGGAAACGTTGAAAACAAATTGGCTTATTTGGCCCTTTGTTCAATTAGCGAATTTTTCAATAATTCCATTTCAATACAGGTTGCTTGTGGTTAATGTATTAAGTATAGGTTGGAATTGTTACTTAAGTTTTGAGCTAAATGCCAATGATTTAGCTTAGTGAATTACATAATGCAATTTAATTTAATGCATAATATTAATTTGGGTTTCGCGTTGTATGTGCCATTCCTCGATGCTTTGAATTGAATTGTTTTCATGGATTTGAATCTTAGTCGGACCCACCTTTGGAAATTCCTCAGTGTGATCTATAGTTTCTATATAGAAACGCATCGTACTATTATGGAATGAATTTTGTTAGTTTACCAATCTATCTACTACCCACCACTTCTTCGAAGATTCTGCAATATAATTATGCAGATCGGACCCACAATCATGTTCAGTTGAATCACAAATTCCAGTTGTCAACAAATAATTCGCTTTCTTTTTTAAAGACACGGCGATTCCCAATGCAATAGACCATGGGATTAAAGAAATATTCATAATGACTTCATCTTTGATTTGGAAAGCATTTCTGAGAATGTTCTTTGGTGCTTCCAGAGCAACCGCTTCGATTATAGAATTAGGAATTTGATTATTATCACATGTAACTTTTGGTGCAAATAGAATAATAATCTTGTTGTATAGCCTTGTTAAGTAACTTATGTAAGTTGATGTGTATGCTTCAACAGAGTTATCTGCATCAGCAATCTTGCCATTATTAATCATGTACATATCAACACCAACACTGGTTCGTTATATTTAATTTCCTTGGATGTATTTTTGTTATAATATCCATTTGAGGTTAGTCTTGAGTAAAATGGTGAACAATATTTGGAAAGTCATGTAGAAACTCAGGATCAAATAAGTCGATATGCACAGATTCCAAAAAGTCGCTGTACGGCGCTGACATGAATGGCGTTGTATTTGATTCTTGTTGTGTGTCTGAGTGAGGTATAAACTCAGATTGGTTATTATCATAAAGAGCATAATTTTTGGATTGAAAATCGCTCTTCTTCTGTTCTGTCTCATTTTGTTGTATCAAATTCCTAATTTCTGGTGTCGAATTATTATGCGATGACAACAATCCAGAACTATTATTATTATCATTTGCGATTTGGCCAACTATATCAGAAGAATTTTTTGGTGGAATAGAAAAAGGGGAAATTCTGTCATTATAATCCAACAGAACTTTTAACCTTTTATTTTGACTATCGTAACTGTTAGATTTATATTTATATTTATACTTACGACTCAAGGTTGAACTGGCCTCCAATTTCTGAATGAAGTTTATTGACAAGTCACATATTTCTTCAACTACCCACCATCTACTGGAAAATTTATTCAATTCTGAAATATAGTCTTCCCATTTATAGGTATCCTCGTAGTCGTTTTCATTTTCAGACTTTTCAGATTCAAGAGAGCCTTCGTTAATATCTTTTAATAAATACTTTACCTTTCTCTTTAATGAGACTGCCATTGCTAAAGCAACACACCACGGAACCAATGGGATATTCAAAACAATTTCTTCCTTTATTAGTAGCATGTATCTAAGAATATTTTGGGATGCTTCCGTCGCAATTGCTTCAGGTACTGTGTTAGGAATTTGAACATTGTCATAATTGGATTTCTGCGAGACTATTATTATGGTATTGTTAACAAGCCTAGTTAGAAAATGTATAGCATCATTCATATAAGCATTGAATGGAGCTTCTTTCGTTGAATATTGGCCTTCATAAATGTTCTTCATCTCCTTTTCTCCTCGGCATAATTCAAATTCGAATCTCTGAAACTCATCTGCGTTAAATAGCTTATGCCTCTTCAGGGAGCTATTATTATTAAGTATATTATTATTATTAAAAGGCTGAATTACAGATAAAAGCATATGCTCCAATGTTCTAGCTAGTTGTACTAACTTAAGCAAATTAATGTTATTATAGGGCAAATCAACGTTAAAATTCTCTTGGGTAATAAAAGTACATTTCGAATTAACTAGCCCATTAAACCTATCAAATATATAGCAACACCACCATAAGTTAGTAAAATATTCAATTTCCTTTTTTTCTACCGACCTATGCTGTCTTCTCATATGAATCCCTAAAGCAAGGGCAAGATTTATTGCATCAGTTAGATCATGTGAACTTTGTTCATTACCAAGTTTATCAAAATTATAGTGCGATGACAACAACAACAGTACAATCAACTTAGATAGTTTATCAGTATCTCCTAGTTGAGGTAAGATTAAAGTTATTTGTCTCACCTTGTGCTCTAAATCAGTCATAAATTGGACGAGTAACTTCCTGAAATCTGAATCCGTGTAGAGTACACCTCTTTCATGATAAACTCTTGCAAAGACTTCCTTTAATATCGGTTCAGCTAGTTTATCTCGCAGGATGACCAAAACTATGACGTAAATTATTATAGTCTGTAGTTCTTTGGATTCGAAATCTTCTCGAAACCTTTCTTCATTAATTATTGGAAACAATGAATTGATTTTAAAGAAGTATATATCTATCAATCTTTCAATCTCATGTTCGGTGAATGGATATTCAGGTGTTGCTAAACTGAATGCATCAATCGACAATAAGAATTTATAAATTTTCGAGCTCTTTATATAGTAAGCGGGATCCGTACCAGATTTTCTATTATAATTCTTTACAGAATTTAGATTCGATATATCGGGATTCAATTTATCGTCTTCCACGTAAACTCCAGATTCATGCCATAACGAATTATCCTCAGTTTGGTTACTTAAAATTGCCTTTGGATGTACATGAAACACATACTGATACAACAGTTGCTGTCCTCTTTTCGTAATACAAAAGTTAAACTTCTCCCTCAAATATTGAGGTGTAATGTTTTTCATATCTATACTATCAAGTTTATGAGAACTAAATTTATCCTGCAGTCTTTGTTCCCTACTATTTTCAACTTCAGTCATTCTAGGAATAGGATCCTTGAGGGTCGAATTTTGGTCTACTGAATTCTTATTGTTAATCAAATCACATTTCCAACTATTCTTACGACAGTTAGAACATCCCACTGTTTCAAAATTTGTTGATATGATTTCACACTTCACCCTCTTGTCTCGACATTTCTGGCAGCATATGAAAGTTCTCTTCCTAGTCTTATAATTTTCGTCAAAAGCTGGAAAAACAAACATAGTTTTACACCACTTTCAAGGGAAGAAAACTCAAGTTATTGCAAAAAAAAAAGCATACAATTTAAAATTAAAAATTAAAAAAGACTATATATCGGAGAACAAATTATTTTCCGGGTCAAATGATCAAAGGATATAGCTATTACTTCTTTTTCGAATATTCCCCTGAAATTAAAATTCAATATATTTGAATGTGAATCTGCTTTGAGAATTTCTAGATTTAAATTCAAAAGGAACTTGTTGAAATAGTTAATTACACGGTATACCTGATACGCATACTTCTAGTAACTTATACTGCTACTTTAGAAAATTGTAAGAACTATTATCAAACTACATAAATAACGGCAACAAACAATAGACCTGTTTGACCAGTTTATCCGAATTAACTTGAACCAGTTGTGTGTGTATTTTGATCACCTGTGGCACCGGTGACAGAATGTTATGTTATTTTGATATATAGAAAGATAAAATGCAGAAAAAATTGTAAACTCCATCTTCTTGATAATTTCGCAAAAATATGAGGAATAGACTTCATTGAGATTTTGAAACTTTGAGGATTTCAAGGTCATGTTTTAAAGCTGAACTTTAACTATGTTGTAACTTCCGTATCTTATATGCTAATTCTACAATATTGTACATATATGAGCCTTATATTTTCGCGCAATGCTGCAAAAGTTTTACTTCACCTTCTTTTATAAAAAAGTAGGCTCGCAACATGAAATGACTGGTCCATAGATAGTATGCGATATATTATATTTATCTATTAAGTGTATTGGACAAAAGGGAGTACATGTTGAATGACTGAAAACTGTCATCACTTAGAATTTTTATTTAAAATTTTTTTTAATGATTTTTTAAAATATGTACCATTTTCATCAAATTTCTCAAATTAGGTTTTCACAAAATAATTTGTATACATGTATATCTATGGAACGAATTTAAATATTAATTGGGCATTATAATAGGACTATAAGACTATAGGAAAAGCTGACACATTGAGAGAAATTGCGAAACCAACGTGGACAGTGGGCCATATTATTCAAGCTATATAATATTAGAAATGAAGTACTGTAGTAATTATTGGATTGGATTGTAAAAAGATTTAGAAATAGGTTACCGAGTTATTTTGCCGCGTCTCTCACTGGATTGAAATATGCATGCGCCATTGCTTCCTTCGCCGTTAATCTTTCTTGATGATCATATCTTAATAATTTATCGATAAAATCGAGGAATTCCTCCGAAACAAGATGTTGGTTATTCTCGTTTATGAATCTCTTCCAAGGTCTTCTATTATAATATCCCAAGTCTTCATAGTCATCACTTAAGGTTAAATTATAGGTTTGTAAATATCTGTTGAGATCGTCAGATCCCAAAACTCTAACAATTTGTACTAATTGATCTGTGTTCGAATTACCATGGAAAAACGGCTCTTTTTTAAATACCATTGATGCTAACATACATCCATAAGACCATAAATCCAAAGAATAGTCGTATAATCTGAAATCTACCAATAATTCAGGGCCTTTGAAATATCTCGATGCAACTCTAACGTTGTATTCTGTTCCCGGGTGGTAGTATTCTGCCAAACCCCAGTCAATTAACCTCAAAACCTTCTTATCATGATCAATCATAACATTGTGTGGTTTGACATCTCTGTGCATTATACCCATTGAATGAGAATAATCCAAAGCTTTCAACAATTCGTACATGTAAAATCTTATGTCATAATCCGTGAATGTTGGGTACAAAGTCCTGAAATCAAGGTTATTAACATTTTCGAATATTAAAGCCGGGGTTTTCAGCTGTGGCTCTCTCACTATATCCAAAAGCCCAATCACATTAGGGCCCGTTACCAAGTTTTTTAAAATCGATATTTCTCTTTTGATCTTCTTTCTCTTAACCGGCTTTAATACCTTGATAACACATTTGTCACCCTTGGCTAAGTCTATTCCCAAAAATACCTCAGAATATTTCCCTCTACCTAACTTCTTAATAATTTCGTAGTTCTCTTGCGAGTTCCACTTAATGTTCACATTCTCATAATCCCAATATGATTGGGGTTTTGACGCCAATACATCCGCATAAACTTTGGATATTGATGTATTTACGCTATTTGATGTCATTTTCGTTGTGGTTTTGGTAGCAGATGTTGAATAGCGAAATGTAAGAAGGCCAATTATTATATAAATGAATATTAACAAAAAAGTTTTGAGACGGAGATTAATCTTGAAAATTTCTGCACTTTATACTTGGACGAATCTAATGAGATTGTAGTCGATCAATGGCCTACTAATATAATGATCAAGATAATATTGGATTATAATTCCTATGAGGTAGTCCTGTTTATCACTTTTGGAAGTGACAAAAAAAGAGCAAAAATTTCGCCCGACTTTACACGTGAGAAAAGTTGTCTTATCATAGATGTAAGACTAATCGCTTCAAGTGACCCTAATCGAGGCATATACCACGAGACATTTGATCTTTCTATTATAGAATGTAAGCTTATCTCTATATACATATACAGCTAACAAATGTGACCGGTAGACAATTATAAGGAGTGTTACCGAATTCACCAATAACGTTTCGTATTTTTGGTGGGATGCAGAGTACAGACCCATATTTTAGTTAAGATAGGTAGATTGTTGCAAAACGCTAACGCAAAATAATAGGTTTATCAGAATCAGAATTTCGCTTCAATTTAACAATAATCATATGTTTAAATTTCCGAAGGAACCGCCTAAGCTACTTAGAGGATCCTTTTGGGCCTGCTTTTCTTTCTTCCTTCTTGCAGCAAGCTTACTCTTAGAAACGGAATCAGCAGCTTCTTGTAGTTTCTGTCTCTCTTGATCTTTTTTGACCAACTTTCTTCCACCGCTTTCTAACTCATAATTATTCAAGAAATCATCGAGCATGCCTTCTAAATCACCTCTCTCTTTATCCATATCAAATTCTTGATAATTTTCGTCACCTTCATTTTCGAAGTTCTTAGCCAACTGCTCGTAACGGTCATCCAATAAGGTTAAACCATCCGTACGAAATAGAGCTGATGACGACATTGAAAAGGACGATGTATCGGTCATAGCACCTTTCTTCTTTCTCAACTTAGTTTTAGATAACTTTTTATTTGACTGATTGTTACCACTAAATGACGGCAAATCTGGAACCACATCTTCATCTTCGTCTTCAAAATCATCATCCGAATCCCAGTCGTTAGCTTTATTCTTGCTATCTATTTTGAATTTCTTGAAATCCTTTTCCCAGTTTGTATTCAAAAAGGTAGGTGGCTTTTCCTCTACCAAATCTTCTGGTGCTTCGCCTTTATTGTAAGGCATATCTTGTTCGTCCAATTCATCCGATGCGTATTTGGCGTCATATTCTTCATTATAATTGTCAAGATCCCATTCATCGTATTCTTCATCTTCATAAAATTGGTCGGCATCGGAGCCGTAATAAAAATCGTCTTCATCTTCTACTTGTCCAGAGTTTATTAAATTGGCGAAAATGTCATCATCCTCTGCTTCTTGTTGACTTGGTTCAATATAAGCCTCATCTTCCAAAGCCTCCAATACTTCCCTTAAACGAGGATCCATATCAGGTTTGAATCCCTTTAACTCTTGTGGAATGCTTTCGAATGTGTCATGTGTAACTTTTATTTTTTGTTCAGAAGGTAATTGATCTCTAAATAAATCTTCAATATTTGCTGGCTTCTTCTTATCCTTTTCATCACTTTTACGCTCAATGAAAACCCCATCTCCAGCTTCCCCTATTGGTTTTAAATGTTGCATATAATCATATTTCGAATCATCAAAGTAAATACCAAATTGTGCTGCTAAACCTTCATTTCCTCTTATTTTTTCGATTTCCTCTGGAGTTAAGTTCTCTTCTAAATCAGATGTTGAGAAAACCTTCTTCTTATTACCAGGATCCATCCTGCTGTGTTTCTTTTCTTGCCCTGCTGCTGGAACAAGAACATGTTCTGAAGCCTCATTATCATAATATAACGCATCGTCATGGGCTCTATGAACAATAGAGAAAGTCTTAGCAGACTTCTTGTCAAATCTCCTTCTTGGTGGCATGATAGGCGAACGTTGCTATTTAGTAGTTGGAATATTATTACCTGATTCTATGTAGTAGTTATCAAAAAAAAAAAAATTATATAAAAAATTTTGTACTGCATATTTATCTCATCTTCAATATTATTATCCTTATGTACTAAACTCTATATATTTTGCAACTGTAAACACTAATTATCGTGTCTGCCATACGATTCTTCCAATATCCGCGGCCAATCACTACGACACATACATATAAATTCTGTAACCGCTAAAAATAAGACACCTAAAATTAGACCAGTCCATAAACCAAACAAATCATATTCCAATTTAAATGCCAAACCATATCCAACGGGTAATGCAATCACATAATACGATATCATATTCAAAATTGAGCCAATGCTTTGTCTACCTTGGCCCCTCAAAATACCAGCACCCAAGACATTGAAAGAATCAGCAATTTGGTTGATAGCGACCAATATCAAAATTTTATCACTGATCTTCAATACAGCCTGGGATGATGTAAATAATTTACCTAAACTATGTCTACCAAAAAAGACGAGGGAAAAGTTAATAGCTGCAATATAAGCCGACAAGACTACGGTTATACGGGTTACTAACTTTGCCGCATAAATATGTTTCATTCCCACAAAATGACCAATTCTGGTTGAAATGGCGACAGCAACAGCAAAAGGTAATTGAAACGCTAAAGATCCTGCGTTGGACGCAATTGATTGGGCAGCTAATGCATTTGTACCAAAAGAAGCTGCGAATATGGTTAAGACTTCAAACGCTAAGTATTCAGCTTCAACCATAATAACCCCAGGTAAGGCTAGTTTGAGCATTGGTGACCAATTCTTACATGCTTTGTATAATTGAAGTCCACCCCAACATTTTCTTCCATCGATAAATACAACATATGCTAACATCATGAACGAAATGAACCAGTAAATAATTGAAACTGCCAATGGTGCACCATTAAACCCTAGACCATAAGTAGGATGCCAAACTAATATCCAGTTTAAAACGAAGTTAAGGGGTGTTGCAATCAACAATACCCATGTACCTGCGTTAAAACAATGTTGTGCTTGTAAAAACCTTTTGCTTGTCTCAAACAATATCAACCCCGGTGCTCCAATGGCATTTATTCTCAAGTATGTCTGAGTCAAATGCGCTAATTCTGGGTCTGGTACCAAGTATTGTAAAAGAGTCCCTGAATACCACCAAATAAAAACCAATGGAAAAAGAGTAAGTGCTATCATCATCATGGAACATCGTTGGAAATATAATCCAACATTATGCAACTTTCCTGAACCATATGCCTGAGAACAGAAAGAATCAAGACTTGTGGCCATTCCTTGGTATACTGCCAATCCGGTGATATTGAAAGTACAAACGGCCAATGACGCTGCTGCTAATTCTTTTGGTCCTAATTTACCAGCAGAGAATATAGTTGTCACCGAAAGGAGGTATTGCAAGAAAAATGTTATAACTAAAGGACCTGAAGAACGAAGAACGAACCTTAATTCTGATTTCGGGGTAATATCGTAATCAGGTTTTTGTGAACTTGGTTTATGTCCCAAAGAGTTATATTGCCCATGACTATGTGCTCCTGTAAGCAATGGTTCTTCAGCATTCATCGTTTTATCATTACTTGATGAGTTTTTCAGATAATGGAATTAGCCCTATTATATAGATAAAAGTATTATCGCAAAAATACGTGCACAAAATCTTGTTGGCGGCTTTCCTAATGCGGAATATAATTGCGACACATTAACAAAATATATATAAACTATGTTCGGATCTAACATAGAAACTATTGAAGATATGTCCATCATTTATGGTTATATCATTAGGTAATGGTATATTCAACGTATTCATTTTCGGTTTTGTCATTGAATTGTTGAAATAGTACTTAGAATCTGAATTATTTAGGACCAATGCATGAGAACTTCTGACATATGATAATTGAATACTTGTGGATGATTGTAGATTGATACATTCAAACTTCACAAGTAGTTGATACTTCAGAGATAATTTCTTGAAAGTGATTGAGTAATTCAATTTTTCTGTACTTGCTGGTGATGATGGGGTTTCGTCTATAGTTGAGATTCTCTGGTCCTTACGACGTGTCGCATGCTCGGTATTGGGTACTGTAGCCTTCTTCTTGTCTACGTCTATTTGCATATCGCTTATTTCTTGAATTAAGGGCTTGGAGTTGGTACCGGTGTCTTTTGCTTTGATATTCATCAAATTTGGCAACTCACCCATATCTTCATCTAGGTCCATACTGTCCTGGTCTCTATCTCTTAGTTCTTCAATTAATCCCAACGTTTCATTTTTCTTCAAGCTCTGCAATTTTTTCTGGAAACCTGATTCATCAAGTTCATTCTTCAAAATATTTGTTTGCGAAAGCTCTCCTTTGGAAAGCATCTTGGGGATAGAATATTCTCTCTCTAAGATAACGTCAAACAAGAGTTCAATGGACTCAATACACCATTCAATCAATATCGACCTCAAATCGCTATTGATTTGGCACCACTGAAAACACAATGTGTTGATGCAACAGTCGTAAACGAAAGAAGGTTGCCCTTTTTTATCTTTAGTGTACTTCTCTCTCGAAACAATCAACGGAATTTCCCACTGATTATCAATGATCAACGGGAATATCACTGATGGCTCAAAATCTTGAGCTGGCTTTGGAACCTGAGTATCGTGACATACATTGATGAAAACTTTAGTTGATAATGCATGCGCTAATGGATCGTTAGCCGAAATAATTTTAGTCTTGATAACAAATCCAGCTGTCGGATTTAACTGAATGGACTCACTTTGTTCTGTTATCAATGACATTGTTAACTAATAACTTCTCCGTTTGTTGGTAGTTTTGTTAGTAGTTGTGATAAATTATGAGATGCGATGGGAATTACACGCACTGTTGATTTCGGAATCATAGTTGACTCTTGAGTCAACTTCCACCGGATAGCTCAACATTTAAGCGTACAAATTTTGTTGAACTTAACGCTTGGTTATAGTTCTATTTAAGTGGATACATATTGCTGAAACAAAAT